CCACTGAGTACGAAGCAGGCATGGATACCTCAGCATGGTTTTTGAAGATGGAAGAGGAGAGAGTAAGGCGAGAAGAGGAAAAGGAAAGGCGAGACGAGGAAAAGGAAAGGCGTAGGAAGGAAAAAGAGTTGTTGAAGTTGAATTGAGTTATTGTAAAGTTGAACTGAAATAAATTGTGATACCAAAAACCAGCGTAACAATATGTATACAAAATTTGTCTTTGAACTGAAAAATGTTTGACTTGAATCGTCATAGTTCGGAAAGAATATTTTTCTTCGAAAAAATTTTAAATTTTGTTTTGGTATGTAGAAAAAATCTTGGTATTATACGCCGACACTCGAACGGCGGATATAACTATTGAAATATTATAAAGAGTTTCTAGACACTTTGAAACACACTATACATAACAATTTTGGGTCCGCTAACACTTATTTAAAAAAAAAATTACCTTAAAATCCAAAATCCTTAAAATTTGTTATCGGGTCTCCATCATAAAACAAATGTAAAATAAACCATTTTCACTGATTTCTTGTTGTAGAAACGGCTAAATATCAATATAAGACCATTCATAGAGCAATAAACCGTACCAAATTTTTTCATAAACGATCAAATTTTCTTATTTTTCATTTTTAGTTTGTTAGAAAAATAAATAAACACTAAACTATTTTTAATGACAATTGATGTGTCTAGTTTCTATAAATGCGGTGTTGCCAAATCGAGTAAGAAAACATATAAGTCAGGAAATAATTCGGTTAGTGAAAGTTGGCTGAAAAATTATATAGTGTCTGGCCAGCAGGTAAATTTGGATCTCGAAGTGAGAACATTTGTAGTAATCACAGACAGCCGTCTTTTTATTTCATTTCAAGATGATTGTACGTTAATTACGACATGTCGGTACTTATCTAATATTTAAAAAAAAATTTCAATTTGAGCTGTGTCCAGGCCGTTGGAGTTTATGCCGGTCGGCGTAGCCAGGTATGTTTTAAAAATTTTCTGGTGGCGGCGAAGCCGCCACCTAACGAGAAGTCGTTCCTTCCTTTTCTTATTGTATATTTTCTTATTATTAGATGCCCACGATACAAGACACGTTCGTTAAAAGTTGGGATCGAGGTTCACTGGCCAGACGCTAATGAGGGTTGGTTAAGTTAGTTTTTTTTTTCAATTTGAGCTGTGTCCAGGCCGTTGGAGTTTATGCCGGTCGGCGTAGCCAGGTATGGATTAAAAATTTTCTGGTGGCGGCGAAGCCGCCACCTTACAAGAAGTCGTTCCTTCATTTTCTTATTGTATATTTTCTTATTATTAGATGCTCACGATACAAGACACGTTCGTTAAAAGTTGGGATCGAGGTTCACTGGCCAGACGCTAATGAGGGTTGGTTAGGTTAGGTTTTTTTTTCAATTTGAGCTGTATCCAGGCCGTTGGAGTTTATGCCGGTCGGCGTAGCTAGGTATGGTTTAAAAATTTTCTGGTGGCGGCGAAGCCGCCACCTTACAAGAAGTCGTTGCTTCGTTTTCTTATTGTTTATTTTCATATTATTAGATGCCTACGATACAAGACACGTTCGTTAAAAGTTGGGATCGATGTTCACTGGCCAGACGCTAATGAGGGTTGGTTAGGTTAGGTTTTTTCAATTTGAGCTGCCGGTCAGCGTAGCCAGGTATGAGTTAAAATTTTTTGGTAGCACCACCCTACAAGAAGTCGTTGCTTCATCTTCTTATTGTATATTGTTAGTTTAGGTTAGGTCGTCGAAGAGTACTCTGCCGATGAGGGTGAGGAAGAAGATCTTAATATGGGTATTTTTTAAATCATTAGTTTTATATAATTTTTCTGATACTGAAGTCAATTGGTTGGCCTGGTACAACGCAGGACATAGGTAAAAATTACCATTGCTATGTGATAGATAATTGATACGGCAACATTGTATTTCTTTTAGACATATGTCACACTGCAAATCTTAATTGTCATAGTTTTTACGAAAATTAAAAAATTCCGACGAATCTAAACATGAGCTTAAATTAAAAAAATAAACTGTTTACGAAAAAGTTTGGATGGTTTATTGCATTATGGATGGTCTAGTGTTAATATTTAGCAGTTTATATAACAAGAAATTAATCAAAATGATGTACCTAGTTTAAATTTTTTCAACATCGCAATTGGAGGACACATTTTAATAGTTTTAAGGTAAGAAAAAAATATTTTATAGCGTTTGCAGGGCAAAAAAAGTATTTTGAAATGTGTTTCAGAAGGTCTAAAATCGTTAAAAAAAAATAAAAAAAAAATAGCCCGTTCGACTGTTGGCGGATTTTTATCTTAAATTTCACATAAAAAAGTTGTAACCTAATTTTTTGGGGATGCCACCCCTTTCATCTCCCTATAGGCGATGTTGGGGTAAGATTTTTATACTTTAAATGTGAGAAAAATGAGTTTCTTATCTCCTCTGTAACTATTTTCAAATGCCAGCATTCCCCACATCCGAACTATGACAGTTTGAAATTTTTTATACTTAAACGTTTTTTCAAAAAATTGGAAATTTTGGATTTCTATGTAGAAGAAAGCAGCTAGGGAATTGGGACGAATTTATTTCATGCGATTTTCATACTAATGGCATAATACTGCAATTTGTCTAGTTTGGTCTCAATTTCTCGACACGAACTCCTTTAGCCCCAACAGCCGAACCCCAACTATTTGATTTTTCCAACAAAATATTTAAGGTTTGAAGAAAGACACCAATCACAGTTCATATTTTGGACTCCCAATTAATATTTTTAAAATTTTAATTGAGTGACAATTCTGACAAACTAATTGTCAGTATATTTTTTAGTTGTTAAGAGTAAATATACATTAAAATAAGTTACTTTTGCGTAAAATCGCTAAATAATAGCATATTTATTTGGGCCACATTTTGGAAAAAAAATTAATCAAACTATATGAAACTAATTTAATTACGAGTATAAAAACTAAAATTCTAAAAGTGGCGGTGGAGCTGAGGAAAGAGCATCTGCCTTCCACGCGAATAGCCTGGGCTAGAGACTAATTTTTCTTTTCATGTTTATTTTATTTTATAAATTAGTAAAATTCATAAATTATTTTAAAATTTGTTATTTTGTCTTAATAACTTAAATAGTTCTTTAATTTGTAGATTTTCGTTAGTGGGTCGTAGAAAAAATATACTGTACAACTCGCGAGTGGATTGTCCATATCCAGATTCTTGTTGCACAAACTACTATTTTCGCTCTTCGTCGTTCGGAGATAAAGTTATATTACGAGACCAAATTATAACGAAAAAGAATGCGATCGCGAAATCAGTTGTATGGTAAAGTGAAATAGATTCAAATTGATAAATGTTGTAATAAATCACAGTGTTTTAGATTTAGGTACTTACCTTGCATTACGCGATTTAAGAGAAGTTTCATTCCCAGGACATAAAGTAGAGAATCCTATTCCGGCAAGTTTTAATTATTTTATTATTTTTCGGAACAAATATTATCAAGGGTAATATATCGAGACCTTGATAAATAGTTGACTATTTTTAGTGTATCTAAATTTTTAGTGTTTTTGATATCAATTTGTCGAGAAATAATTTTGTCATTAATAATCTGAATAGATTCCGAGAGATTTATCTCTCACGAAAATGTAGACAAAATGCCCTAGGACGAGGTAACCTCGTCCCGTCTAGGTGGACATTCCAGAATAATTGGGGAAAATTTTCTGAAATCCCAAGCAAGGCCACAGAAGCCCCAGAAGCTAGAATGTCAAAAAACCAGGGCACAAGAAACTGCCAACAAAAGCTCAAAAGCACCAAAGCGTCCACGCTTAACAGACGCGACCCCGCCACAAGCTAGAACGGATGAAGTCTCGTTCAAAGAAGCCCTTACCTCAGTGAAAGTTGCAGTGGTAGCAGTGGGGTACCTGGAGAACAAAAAGAGTCCAGAGAGACTCGATCTCCGAGGCCCACGATAAAATCCTCACAGAGGGAACACAGATGAGGTTCGCAAAGTGCAGCGACAAGCCAGGCTATTTGGTGGTGACTTGGGCAGACCGCACCAGTGCAGACTCGTTGCGGGACATCGTCACAACCATCCAACCCTGAAAGCGTTGGAAGGAGACAATATCCCCTAGGCCACTACTCTGCACAACATTCGTCCTTAGCGAAAGAGGACAAAGGCCCGATGGAGAAAAAATCCTTAAATGGCTGAAAATAGCCAACCATGGGCTAAATACACACCTTTGAACGGTGTGGGGGTAAATCCTTCTTTTGAAAAAGATCAATTCGGCTTTCTCGACAGATCCTGAATCCTTAGAGGAGCTAAAAAAGCTGGACATGTATCCTTACTGTGACCTAACGAGACAAATTCAGAGTCAAAGGAGGACATGAACAAGAGCCTGCCGAAAAGGTAAATAACCCCGGCACAAACAGGGAAGAGGACAACCCAAAGAGTCCTCTACAGAGGAGGAAACCTTCGTAGAGAACGACGAGATGGAGTCTTCCAACAATGGGGTCAGTCCAAGAGGAGACTGTACCTTGGGAGAGACCTCAAAGAAGGCTACGCCGACAGAGGAAGGAACAAAAAGATGGATAGTCTGTTCCGCATATTTCTCAGGCGAGGGACTAAGTCCCTTGCATATAATAGGCGTAATAGTCTCATATGCGTCAAGGGCTAACTGCCAACTCATCATAGGATGCGATGCCAATGCCTACCATAGCATTTGGAGAAGCACTGACATCAATACAGGAGGTGAGGTGAACATTATTTTCCTTTCACTATAATCCAATTTCATGATTATACCAACTACTTTTGCTAACCGCTTCGCATTGAATTTTTGAATATATCTCTTTTCGAACTTTAAGGGTCGTCCCAACACTTGAGTTTGAATTGGGTGCTGTAATCACCTAAAGTTTTGTTATGTTTCCTACAGCTGCACACAGCATATAATAAAACTTTTGATGAATTTTGAGCAAGGTCAACGTAACATTCCAAAAATCCAAAATAAAACATAACTTATTTAAAAAATATTTATTTATACTTAATTTAAAATAATTATCAAATATAAATTACATAACCAATAAAAACGAGCGACGAGCGCTGGTAACGTGTCGCTATAATTCCTCAAAAAATGCAACTCTGCTTTTTGTGGAGCCAGACTTGCTTTTTTTTAAGGTAGAATATTTGTTTTCGCCTAATTTCACTTGCTCTTCGTGCAGCTGATCGAAATCGGTCACTTTGTCGCCTACTTTCAACACGGCTATCTCGGTTCTGAGGTCGCGCAACTGGTTTTGGAGGTGTTTTGATTTTTCTAAATACTCGATTCTGTAACAAAAAGTTATATGCAAATTCTTTACAAAAAAAATGCCACATGTTTTGATGAACTATGAACCAGTTGTTGAAAAAATAAAAATGTTTGTTAAATGAAAGAGAGACCAGGTTTTAACGACGTAGGAACAAGGTTTTGATGAACTAGAAACCAGGTTTTTAGGAACTAGGAATCAGATTTTGATCAACTAGGAACTGGTTTTTGGACAACTTGGAACCAGGTTTTTAACAAACTATAAACGAAATTTTGATGTACCCACTAGAAACAAAGTGTTGATGAACAATGAAACAAATTTTGAAGAACACTTAAGCAACGAAACTAGGTTTTGACGAACTAGGAACCGCATTAAACAAGTTTTTGATGAACTGAAAACTAATTTTTGACGAAGTAGAAACAATGTTTTGATAAACAATGAAACAGATTTTGATGAACAAATAAGTAATCTTATTTGAAAAATAAACTAAATTTTGACGAACTAGGAACCAGATTAAACCAGTTTTTGACGAACTATTAACGAATTTTTGAGAAACTAGAAACAAAGTTTTGATGAACTTGGAACCAATATTTGTCAAACAAGGATTCAGATTTTGTCGAACTAGAAACCAGGTAATGACCAACTTGAGGAACCAAGTTTTAACAAACTAGCAACCAGATTTAGTCAACTTGAAAACAGGTTTTGACAAACTAGAAACGACTTTTTGACGAACAATGAAAGAACCAGATTTTGATGAACAACTAGGAACCAGGTTTTTAGAAACTAAGAATCAGATTTTGATATTAAATAAATTAAATAAATATTAAATAATAATCTTAGTTTTGATGAACTAGGAACCTGTTTACATCGATCAAGGCTTAAAATATTAGACAAAATAGTCAGTATGTTTTGATGACTAGCATTTTGACCAATTTGAAACCAGGCTTCAATGAACTAGGAACAAATTTGGGACAACTTTATGTTGAACCAGACTTCCAAGTTTTAACCAATTAGGAACGAGGTTTTGAACATCAAAGAACAAGAAAGAATTTTTGACGAACTACGAACTAATTTTTGTCGAACTGGGAATTAGAATATCCAGAAATCGATTGTTAGCTATTACGAACTTACCGTCAATTTAGAAACTTACCCCCGATATTTTTTAAATAAACTGGCCACTCTAAATTTCAAATTTACGCCAATTTCAAGTTGCCGTTCTTACCTTTCCTTTTCTATTTCTAAAGAGAGTTGATCCGCATCCGCGTTAGCCAGAAGATCGTAGGAAGTGATGTTCAAATTCAAGTCTGGAGACGTCGAAGCTTCGCTTTCCATTATCGAAAGGTGATCGGTGCCGTATCCAGGACTTAGCGGCGGGGGGTATAAAGCGGTAACAGACTAGAAAAACGAATCGAAATATATAGTAAATAAAATAAATATACTGACTTGCAAAAAACGGAAAACCTAAATGTTTGTACCCACATTGGGCGCCATAATGTGTAACTGTTATTCTAATTTTACTAAATAGGATAAGAAATCAAAAAGTTATGAACCATCAAACTTGGTCAAAAGTGTAGATGTTCCTTTTTTTTAAAGTCAGTATATAGGTATTAAAAAATAGAAAAACATTTTTTTAAATCATCAAAAACGCCAATTATATAATATATCTTATGGACTGAGAGTCTGTCGCAAAAACCAAAAGTGGGAATTATTTTAGACTGAACTAAAAAAAAAAATATACGTAATTAATTGCTAGGCCATGGCTCTGGATCTGCTTCTGTTTTGACGCAATTGGTGTCAAATGAAAGCCGATAGTCTCATCTTTAATAAGGTCGCCTTTATTTGAACTCACTCCAAAAATATGGCACCGAAGTTTGTTGTTATTTCAACGTCTATCTACTTAAAACTAAAGCAAACCATGGTTGGTCTGGTGTTTAGCAATTAAAAGCCTATACTTTTTTTTAAATCAGCCTAAAATAAGCCGTCCCTACAATTTTTTGGTGTTGGCTTTCAGACTAATATAACAAAGCAAATAATAATATCTAAGAAATTACCTTGCGTCAAAACCCGGGAAGATTTAAAAATACGAAAAAAACTGTTATAAAAATTCTATAAAAACGTAGAAAATGGAAAGGCAATAAATAGATAAATAGGTTAGAACCAGACAGATATATTAGTAAGAAGTAAGAAGAAATCTATGCATAGTAAAGTTAATAATCGGAAAACTGGAGGTATTATATAGGTATATCAAAATTTTAACTTACTGAGATAGGAGATACTGTATTCGAACCGTTATACGACGTGGTACGACTCAAAAAGTCTAACAATTTTTCTTTGGCCTGCTTTTCTGCCGCTCTGGCCTTCAGTAGTTCGTCTTTTAATTTATTCGCTTCGGCCGCCCTCTTTTCCGACTCCTCCACGAGCCTCGCCGTCAACATTTCCGCTTCTCTCGTCTTCTTCTCCAACGACACCTTCTCCTCGTCTCGCTTCATCGCCGACATTCTTAACCTGGTGATCTCCTGTTCAGCCTCGGCAGCTTTCTGACTCAACAGCCTGGCCTCTTCTTCGGCTACTCTGCTCTTCTCTGCCAAGAGATCCGCGCTTTCTTCAGATCGCCGCTGCAAGAACAATAAATCTGAGGAACCGTGTATAATGCTTATAATTGTAAATAAATAAATTTGAACTCTCGGTACTTAACAGGTTCTTTCGTAATCAACCTTACTCAAAATATTCCGACTTGAGCTATCGTGCCAGCTTTCGTTATTTTCACTGACCAATAAAATTAATCCACGGGAGTCACTAACCCATACTTCTCTGATCCCATACTTCCCTGATCACCTATAACCTGTTAATCTATAAACTAGAACGTACTTGTCTCGCGCCATGTTCACTTCAAGCAAAATAACATAAAAGTCCTTGCATAAGAGAGGACATAATTTACCAAAATGATTTTGTTGTGCTTGGATATAGGTTTCTCCCAACTAAGTTTGAATACTCTAGATAACATTAAAATGATTTTTGCTTTTTCAATATTCCCAAACATATATTAAAAAAACTTACCAGAGCTTCATTGGCTAAGCGAATTTCTTCCTGATATTGCAACAACCTCTGTTCCATGCTAGCTCTTTCTCTCTCTGCTTCTTCCCGTAATTGCTTCTCCCTTGCCAGTCTAAAAAAGAAAAAAGCTAATATAGACAGTTTTTTCTTCAACAATAGTTCTAATTACCTATTTCTCTGTACTTGTCTTCTTTGCTTTTCTTCTTTGGCTGCCGCTTTCATCTGCTGAAGTTCCATAGAGTCGGGCTTTCGCCGCCGCATGAACAAATCATGATTGCCCATACATAAATCTAATATCTGGAATACATAATACAAAAATAATGATTTCCTGTTAATATTTCCTTCAACTATAGCAGTCAAACCAGATAAAAGCATCGTTTTGGAAAACTTGGCACCATTTTTTGTCAAGCAAGGCTCCAAGTTTTGACGAACCGATACAAACTTTTTAAGAACCATGTTCCAGGTTTTGACAAACTAAGAATGAATTTTTGAGAAATTAACAACAGTTTCCAAACAAGCTCAATGTTTTGACTGAAAAGTAACTAGGTTTTTATGAAGTAGGAACCAGATTTTTAACCAACTAGGAACTAGGTTTTGCCAAACTAGAAAATATTTCTTGAGAAACTAGTAACAAAGTTTTGATTACCTATGAATCAGGCTTTGACGAACTACTAACCAATTTTTATCTATCAAGGCTCCAAGATTTGGCCAAAAAAAGTACCAGATTTCAGGCAAATAGGAAACAAGTGTTAACAAACTAAGAACCAGGTTTCAACAACTTGGAACTAGGTTTTGACGAACTAGAAAAGAATTTTTGATAACAAAAAACAATATTTTCATTAACTTGTAATCAATTTTTGTTAAACAAATTTACAAGTTTTAATAAAAAATTAACCAGGTTTAGATGAACTAGGGACCAACTATAAATCAGTTTTTGACAAAATGAAGACGAATTTTTGACAAACAAGAAAATTTTGAAGAAACTATGAACCGGGTTTTGACCAACTAGTAACCAATTTTAATAAATCAAGGCTCCAAACCATGACAAAAAAAAGCCGGTATTGATCAAATTAGAATCAGGTTTTGACGAACTAGGAACCAAGTTTTTACCAATCTGGAAAAAACGTTAATGAACTAGGAATGCATTTTTGATGAACTAAAAACAAAGTTCCAAACAAGTCTCAAAGTAAAAAGGAACCCTGTTTCGATGAACTAGGAACCCTGTTTCGATGAACTAGGAACCCTGTTTTGATAATCTAGTCACAAGATTTTTGACAAACTAGAAACAAATTTTTGACAAACTATAAACCAGTTTATTTCCAAACTAGGAATCAATTTTTGTCAATCAAGGCTCAAAGATTTGGCTAAAAAAGAACCAGGTTTTGACCAAATAAGAACCAGGTTTTGACCAACATTGAACAACATTTTTATGGACTAGGAATTAATTTTTGATGGACCAAAATAAAATTCTAAAAAAGACTTCCAAAAAGAAACCAAGTTTTAATGAACTAGGAACAAACCAAATTATTAAGTTTAACGCCTATTTTAGGTTGTCACTCTTAACCTTACATCAAAATACACTTAATAAGACAAATGGTATGTTATAATTAATTTTGCTTTGTTTTGCTTTAGTTCAAATGAGCCAAATGTTCCTTAAAGCTGGTTTTGTCTGACAATCTATCTAAATAGAGGGTAACATTATATTTTAGTAACATATTGAAAAGTTTTATATTTATTTGCTTACCAATTTGTTCATCCTAACTTTCTGACTAAAAAACACGAAATTCGGGGCGTTTTTATCCACTGGTTTAATGATGAATTTTTTATCGTCAAAACTAATGTGCCTGATTTCAGACCATGTAAAAGTGGTCTTAGGTTGTAGTTTGTTCTCCTTTTCGTAAATGTTTAGGCCCAGTGCTGTCACGCCCAGCCACAGGTCAGTCTCTTTTTTATTCTACAAAAAAAAAATACTAATGTCAATTAATTTGAGATATTTTCTAATAAAGATCTATTTTTTAAAATTGTTTTTATGTGATTCTAAAAAGTCTGTAGTGTTGATAATGTTCTACAATTTTAATTTAAAAAGCTGTAATTGAATACTAATAAAAAAACCGGCAACTTACCAAAATAGGAAAATAATTGACACCATACATATCCAGGTCTTGCGCGATTTTAAGGTACTCCATCTCAGCCTCGTCCCTAGACATACCCCTGTGATCTGCATACCATACCCTGATGCGTTCTTCCCACATCTCCAAAGTCATCTGATACTGGTCTATCACTCGCTGAGGTAACAGGTCTTCACTGGCCAACATGCCTGGTTTGTAGGTATCTTCGTCAAAGTCTCCGAACTGAACAAAGGATGAAGTTATAAAAAGTTTTGATAAGATTACCCTTTAAAGGTCCCTTATTTAAGTACCATTTCAAAGGAGGGTATTATAAATGAGACTTCTTTCTAAAAGGGCAGTAGAATGGTATGTCCCCAGACAACACACCAAATCCCAAAGATATCCACAGAATATCTTTTGTGGATATCCAATATATCCACAGGATATCAGAAATATTCCGTGGATCTAATATGGATATCCAAATGTCCGTCTATATCCAGAATATAGAAGATATCCTATGGATATTAAGCAAAATATCTAATTAGTATCTTCCAGACAATACAAGAAATCCCAGAGATATCCACAGAATATATTCTGTGGATATCCAAATATGGATATCCAACCAAATGTCCGTCTATATCCCAGGATATAGAATTCAGATATTCAGCAAAATATTTTATAGGTATCTTTAGTACACATTCATAAGTAACCAAATGATTATTGAATAACGTCGAAAGAAAATAGAGATAAAAAATATTTCCAACAATCTGCCTTTGAGTTTGCCCACTAAGAAAAAAGTAATCCTTATTAGGACTCTTCAGTAGGGATGCGCACGATGTATCGATGTTAAAAAAACATCGATTTTTCTCTTTCGATTATCGATGTTTTTATCGATATTTTTTTATGCGATGTTTCTATTTAACATCGATGTTTTTTATCTAATATCGATGTTTTTTAATTTTACGTGATTTACCGCCCATAGATGGAGATTTTTATTTTATTAAAAATGTTAATACTTTTATTATTATGTAGGTATTAATTTTTTTATTTTCGATTTACTGATTTAAAATTTGGCCAGGTAGCCTAATTAGAAATGTACTAATAAAAATATTATTTATCCTGAATTAGTGAATCCCGAGTAAAACAACTTATTTGTATATTGTTCATTATCGAGTCAAAGTTCTTGATTTTGATTATTTTTTCCCATTTGAATAATGATTTATTCCATCTAATAATTAATATAATTAATCGTAGAAATTAAATTGATTTATTAATTAAGCGTGTTTTTTGCAATGTTCCTATCAGAAATTTAATCTTAACATTTTTTAATAATTAAAGTTATTCTAATTTTGACTTATAAAGTGGCATCTTTTGTAATCGCAGCAAGTGTCAAAATTATCTACTAACTATAGTAAGTTGAATATATTGCGAAAAGAAAACAAATAAAAATAAACCATTTTTGGTATTAAATTCAATGTTTTCGGAGAAGGAAGGTTGGTTATATAAAAATAAATTTGGTCGGTGAACTTATAATTAGTAATAGTTCTGGTTCGTTTGCTATTTTAAAAATCTAAATCCATTATTAATCTGAACAAAATAATCGAAACAAACGACAGTGACATAGTTTTATTGTAAAAAAACTAAAAATATTTATACATATCTATGCAAAATAACACATTTTCTTGAAAATTAACAAGTTTTGACAAGAAAATGAAAACTGTAATGATAAATATTTTAAAAGTATCAGATTGGTTTAAAGTTAACTATTATTTTCCAATCTTTATTTTTTAATATCTTTGATTGGAAGTTTTATCAAACACAGTTTTATAAATAATTTAGTCAAAATTAGAAACAATTAAAATTTACCACCATTAAATTAAATAATAAACACACATTAGGACGACACTGGCTGTTCCTGCTTTCTACCACTTTTTACCTTTCGCTGATGTAGTCCAGCTCGTCTATCGGTTTATCTCGGCAAGGTAGAGAAAGATAATGAATTGGGCTACTGTATATTCCCATACTTTTGTAAAGTTCGAGTTAATTTTATATTTATGCTCACATTTAAAGGGACATTATTCTTATTAATATTATGCTAAATAAAATGTATTTAAAATTAATAAACAACAATAATACGTATTTTTATTTAATTTTCATATTTTTCAAAAATAAAAAAAAAAAAATTGCATCTATTGTGAATTGAAGAACCGCGTCGCGAAATGCAAAATTGACTACATGTTCAATGCTTAACTGAGCTAAAGAGTCATGTCAAGTGTGTGTATTTTATATGTTTTTAGTTTTTAGTCGATATTTTTTACACCTTTCAGTTGACTAACGTCTTGTTTGCAGGAATTTTAAAACTAAATCCTTGCATATGACACTTCCTGATGGTCCCGCCTAACACTTTACAAAATTCCAGCCGGGAGGTACGATCATACCATAGATTTCATATTTTATTATCTAAAGGCTGTATGTCACGATACTAAATTAAGTACTAAATTTAGCACTAAATTAAGTTATTAATTTAGTACTAAATTTAGAACTAAAAATTTTTTTTCCGTTTGCAACGATACCAATTTTTAGTACTAAATTTACTATAGGCGCACGCGCATTGACGTATTAATACGTAAAATTAACAGAGAAATGAAATATTATGTGTAAAACAGACAAGTAAATGGTGTTTTTATTATCAATTTGACACTAGTTGACTTGACAACAACCAAATACAGCATAAAAACCACGAAAAAAACACAATAAAACCTACAAAATCAAACAAGCGAACTTTATTCAAGGCGATAATGTAAAATTGTCGCTAATTAAAAATAAAAGGGTACAGAAAATACCGTCGTGTCAACTTTTTCTATGAAAAACTTCTGCGCAACATTTCGGCGCACTTTTAGTACTTAATTAATGACTTTTTTTAGCACTAAATTTAGTACTAAATTTGCTGTTTGCAACGTGAATTTTTTTAGTACTTAAAAAATGCATTAATTTAGTTCTAAATTTAGTACTTAATTTAGTATCGTGACATACAGCCTTAAGAAGGATCGTAATAAATAAAAATAAAATTATTTCCATTGTCTTGTTTATTTGTTCGTTTATAAAAAACATCGATGTTTACAAAAATCGATGTTTTCTTTCCGATTTTTTACAACATCGATAGTCTGTATTCGATGTATCATTTGATGTCAACATCGATGTTTTAAAAATTTTGCGCATCCCTACTCTTCAGCAATAAATAGAAATTCACAACTCTAGTCTCTAATAGAGTCTTAATGCGAAATTTTTTTCGATCAACTCAATTATGGCGGGTTGAGCATGAGTAGATACGAAAGTGGTATCGCCATCTATACTTAGGAAGCAAAATCAAAAATTACATCTAGTAGATATCCACGATGGTTTGCGTCCGCGCTAAGACTTTGATATATGTGGATGTCCATGGGATATTGAATACACCTTAAAAAAATTAATTTTAAATATCTGAACGGTACTATTAGCCACAATGGCGAGCACAATGGCGTAATTTTTTAATAATTTGCTATATAATTACTATTATTTATGGACATTTGCATGTCTATAAATTACATTTTATGGATATAAAATAGATATCCACCATAGACTGGACATTCAGTGGATATTGGGATGTTCAGTAGATATCCAAAGGATTTGGTGTGCTGTCTGGGTCATGGTTAAAGAATTAAACCTGATATTGCCCAGTTCTACAATACAAAGAATTTTAAATTTAAGGCCCAGTATTTTGTGAGCTGATTAATTTACCAATCAAATTTTGACATAAAATGTATATACTTAATTATAATTCAATGTGGGCATGTCTATTATATTTAACCACATCTTTTTTCATCAATTAAGCTTTCAATCAGAATTATGGTTCTATTATTAAAAAAATCTTGTTTCATAATGAATTTGTCAAATCTGATTTTATTTTTTCTTCAGTCAGTGATTGTTGTGTTTTAATAATTTTCATAGATATTAGGAATGGATGAGAGAAACAAAAAGAAAGGATGTAATTTAACTGATATTTTTTTTGAAATTCATATGTGAATAAACACAATAGAAGGAAAATTAGTAGATGCATGGTGTAAAATTAGAAATAGTTTTAAAAAGGCATCAGACAAATAGAATGACTCAAATACATTAAAAATTAAATTTGGTAACATGAATTTCTTTAAGAATAAACAAACTGATTCTTTGGAAAACCGAAACCTTCTGTTGAACTGGTACCAATTTAATAATAGATATCTATTGAACAATTTAAACTCAAAATTCAATGAAATAATGTTTCAAAAACATATTTAGTATTGACATGTATTTAAACCTCAACACAAGTCAAACTATTTCGTAATATATTTGTTGATTTTTTAATAAAACTTGACAAATTTTTTACTCTTCATGGTTAAAGTTTGGCAGCACTAAAGCCTCAAAACTGTTTTAGAAGACAGTTTGAGAAGTAAAACCATAGGAAAATGGAAATGAAGTACATGGAAAGGTGAAATAGTTAGTAATATAAATCATAAGAAAAGTGAGTGGAATGAGAGCAAAAGAATATAGCACAGAACTGATTTTTTTTTATACATCAAAAAATTGAAACAATCAAGTTTAACTAAACTTCAAAAACACCAACAACTTAAAGGTTTAGTTTAGACTTCTACAAACAATTAGCAACAATAAAAATCTGAAACTTCATCAAAGTAAAACAGGGTTAAGATTATTTTTGTTAATAAAACTATAAACTTCAAAGGTTATTACATTTCATTTGTATTTTACATCTAACCTGCAGAGGTTAAATTGGAGATACCATTTATATCTAAACTGGGATGTCATATGTACTTCTTATGAAATTGATATAAACATTGTGTTTATTAAACATTATCATCTTGCTTTTAACACATTATCATCTTGCTTTTAACTTTAATCAAGATAATTAAAAATTCTGATTCACTGATGAATTGAATGATTCATCACTTTAAATTTTTTAAACTTGGACAAAAAATACTTGCAGAATGTTTTGTTGTTAACATGTTATTTTCTGCTAGATGGTTTGTCACCAAAAATTAAACAAAAAAATTGTATCTAGGGACAGATAAATAAATTGTATTATTATTAACTGTTAAAACATGTGTTTTAATAAAATGTCAAAAACTTGATCTCAAATTAATATACTTTATGAGCATTTGGAACATTCTTCTGATACTCCAATGTATACTGTATTTACCATCAGTATTGATGCTTTTAAAATCGAATTATCAGAAATATTTGATATGAGAAACTTATATTTATAATAATTAACCTTAGCTTGCACTGCATAACTAGCTAGTAATACTGAAGCTTCAGGTGGGCAATATACATCCATCGACAATATGGCCTGTTTAACTTGTAGAAAAAACAAATGTTGTGTAACTTCTTGTACTAACTCCTCTGCAACTTCTTCGGGATAAAATTTGGCTAGGAACATAAACGATGATGTTTGATGATTTTTTTGAATACTTTGATCTTGTACTAGAACGAAAAAAAATTCAGTACATCATAACCTATAAAGATAGGAAAATATATACCTTTCTTATCTAATTTTAACCAAGATATAAAACCTTTAGAGTCCTCATATTGCAAACCAAAGTACCAAGTCTCCCTTAGACCAATTGTCCTGCAAACTAGCTCGAAAAGGTCTCTCCCTGTCGCTCTCCACTGAAAATAACTCATTAATTAGCGAAAATTCTATGATTAATTACCTGCATACTTCTAAATTAAATTCCAATTCTGCGTCTAACGTACAGACTTTTACAGGAAAACTCTTTCCAGACTTTTTTCTTCGAAATGGTGGCATACTTTCCTACATTATTCAATTAAAATTATGTAAAAACAATTAGTCATTTTACTTTCAAATAAAAATATAAAACCAACAATAACAAAATGTCACTTATATCATTGACAGATTGACATTATTTTGACAGAATGACATAAAGTAGGAATCTACTTCACATGTTCACGTCTACTTCTTTTTTGTTGCCTTTTCTTTAAAATTTTAGAAGTACGCGTTATATCAGTTCATTGGCGTAGGCAGGCGTAGGTATTAGGCAAGAAATGAAGAAGTCGGTCGCCGGTCTTTTGCACATAATCAGAGACAACCCGAGACGGTTAACTTCATAGCAAAAATTGATTGACATTTAGGTATAGTAGTCATCAGGGTCAGCTGGTATTTTATCTTTGTCATGTACATTATTTCCTTATAACGTTATCTTCATGGAGGAAGGATAATTAATTAATAATTAATTAATAATAATGTCACTTTAATCTCCGTTTAACACAACGGTGGAATCGGCCCTTAGTAGTTTAAACTTCGTTTAACACAATAGTTGAATCGGTCCTTACGTGCAAACATAATTAATCGTATCATCTCTATTTCGAAGGATCTATGGATTAACATATTGTATGCAGAGGTTGAATCAACTTGTGAGTACATAGTATACTAAGGACAGATTCCACCGTTGTGTTAAACGAAGTTTAAAATGACATTTTTACATTAACAATGTCATTTTAATCTCCGTTTAACATAACGGTGGAATCGGCCCTAATAAATCTACCTAGGCAAAAAATCATTTTTTCTACGATCACTTAGGAAAGTGACACCTATCGCACTATTTAGTCTTATGTATGAAGACTAGTCTTCATATGGGAAGTGCCCTATATCACATGCGTATGGATAAATCTACTTTCCACCCGTGTGTAAATATGAACCTACTTTTCGCATAAGTTGTCAAATATGCCAGACGTCTAATTTCTATTTTGATTGATGTAATGTCCATTTTAATAGTAAAATCGATTTGATAATTAAATTGTTAACATTAGTTTTTAAATATAGATCTAAAAGATATTTCTTTTTAACAGATTATTAAAAGAATTTTAAAGTAACTACCTATTTTTGCTTTTCCTGGTACATATAAATATTTAATTAGATAAATTGAATAACAAAACTGTGCTTATGCAGATATTATAGTATCTAACTTTTTCAACTTGGTATTTCGCTACCATTTCGTGACGATGGTTCAATTCCCGGTGAATTCTTTTTTTATTTTGAAAAAATATGAAAACTGGAAAAATGCGAATATTGTTGTTTATTTATTTAAAATACATTTATTTATAATAATATAACCCCAACAATATTCATTTCGCTATTTATTTTGAATTATTTTAATTACTGTTCAGAAAAAAAATTTGTGTAGAGAAATGGGCAATCAAATAAAAAATGTTTTTGTTCACAATTGTTCAACTTATTTGTTAAAAACAAAATAAACTAATGAAAACATTAATATTCTAATATTTTTTTTTGTAACTAATGTTATTTTATCTTTATAATCCAATGAAATTATTTTTAAATAGAATCACAATATTTTTAATTAACCAGCCACATCTTTTGATTGAACCTTTATGGCCAGATTTCCTAGTTTTACATTTTTTGTGATAAAATTATTTTGTGGTCGTAGGAAGAATATTGTACCTACATCACTTGGGTGAAAATGATTTTTCACACTGGCGTGATTGTCGCACTCGGCTTATGCTTCGTGCTACAATATTTCCCACTCGTGCCACAATGTTTCCTACTCGTGTGAAAAATGTCACTTTCCAACCTCGTGATGTATATTTCAATCGTGTATTTGCCAGGCGTTGCGATTAAAATATCCTTCAAAACAGAGGATCTTTAAATAAATATGCACGACAATGGCTTTACTTTTCGGTTTTCTTCGTTTCTATTCGGTTTCCTGGTATTCTGTGACACTTGTGACTTATTCTTTCCACTTTCGATTAATCTACTGATTGTTGAGATAGACTACGAACAATATTTGCATAAGACAGAGATACGATTATTGTACATGATTTACGTACGTGATACGATTCATGTACCGCAAGTCCAGCGTTGCCAAATCTACCAATTTTTCGGTATATCTATCGATAGAAAGTATTTTAGAAATATTTTATTTCTTTCACATATACTATTTTAAAATATATGATATATTTATTTACCTTGCGTATTCAAAAATATTTTGGTATACTTTTCCTGTAGACAAAAAATTATTATCTCAATGAACAAACAAAATTTTTATGGTACTCGTTTTCGTCAAGTTAAAATGAATTTTCAGTAAATGAAATAAACAAATTTTGCTTTTAGATAAAGTATTTCCTTATTCGGAATTGTTTTTTTTAATTTCTATTTTATTTCACATATCTATCTTTTAATAAAAATATTTCAATTAGAAATAGTCTTTCAATCATGCATCTTTATTTTTTTTATTTTAATTTTTGTATGTATTATTAATTGATTGGTTTTTATTAATATATTTTATTTGAGACAATATTTCTTCTTCTAATACATAAATCTACTGATTTCTAATATCTACCATATACCTATATAGTCATTTTTCAAGTCTTTCTTCCGATTTTAAGATTTATAGGCTGGCAACGCCGCGTATATCATTTTAGATTAGACATTTATGACAAAGTTGTCAATTGAGTTCCAGATTCGGAAAAACTTGAATTTGAAGTTTAGTGAATGATTTAAAAGTCATAAGATGTGAGCGGTGTTTTGGTATTTTTAAATTGTGGTTTTAATAGTTATTTACAGTCAAAAACGATTTAGTTTTCGGGAAAAATATTTTAAAATGGGACAGCATGTTTCTAGGACTGATTTCGAATGGGTGTATACTGAAGAACCCCATGCCAGCAGAAGGAAATTAATTTTAGGTTAGAAAGATGTCCTTTTGGTAAATTAATGTATGCCATTATCTAATCATTATTAGTATTGTTAAAAGTGTCATCAAACCTGACCAACGAAATTTTTCAAGGTCGCTTTTTTATGGTAATATTTTTTGACAACAGGCAACAGTGACATTATTATTTATTTATAGTGCACGATATCAAATTTGAATGAATTCATATAAGTATGCATAGTAAATTTGTCATGTGGCCGTATTCCGGCCCTATCTGATAAATACCTACCTAAAGTTTATAAAATAATTATAGAATATTGACATAATTTTTTCTAGGCTCCTCCTAGATATTTACGCCCCTATCATTTTGTTTACCATTTTCTTGAATAGCTAGAAAACTGATATGACTATGACTGGCTAATAGTATATTTTCCATGAAATTTCTAAAAATAAATATTAATCAATGTTTTTAAATATGGGAAGGAACATTTTTATTTATCTGATATTAAATTTAAGAACATTTAATAGTTATTATTAAATTTATTACCTAAACCAATGTAATAGGTAACTTTTACTTCTATTGGAAAGAGTTTTTTGCATTATTGATTACTGGGCTATCTTATCAGGTTACAACAAAATAAGTACCTACATTAAATATAAATTTCAATAAATTATCTTTTTTGATTAGAAATCAGATATGAAGTGGTAATTTTAATAATATCCAAAAGGTCCTATGTAAAAATATTTAATGTCCTTTGTATCATCTTTTTTCAAAATGATACTTTTTAAGTTTACTTACTTTTACTCATCCCAATGATACCAAAGGAATAGCTACAAATGTGCCTACCTAGGTATTCAAAATAAGTATTTTAAGTCTAAATCAGTGATGGCTCATGGCCTAGTCTATGTTGGGGCTACTTTTGACTTGCACTTAAGGTATATAAGCTTAATCAAAACTTACCAAAGCACTTTAGTCTTCTGTTTTTCACTGTCTCACTTTTTCATCAAAATCGCCAATGCTATGTACCTACAAGTAATAATTTTGTCACATGTATCTTCTAATTCGTTAAAACACTTGTCTAACACATTCTACTTGTTACACTTGACTTAAAATGTTAAAATCGTCTTGTATATGAACATTTTGAACATGTGTCTGCCTGAGTAAGTTTTCAATTGGGAGTAGGCCTTCCCAAAGATTTAATATGGCATTTTTCAGCCACTGAAAATATCGAAATTATGTTTTTAAAATATTTTGTACACCATTTTTCGTGATGTTATAAAAATGCTGTAACCTTACAACCTCGGATTTAAAAATGTACTAACACACACAGGAACATGTTGGCAGTGTTGCCAATACAAAAATAAAAATTATCCCATTATCAAAATCAAATTTTCCAAATTATTTGAATTTTTTCAATTTTAAATTTGACATGAAAGACCAAATTTTAGCAAAGAAAAGGAATAAGACCCAAGACCACTGCAGACAAAGCATTTATTAATATACCCCACTGTCAGGGAAATTCATGTTGGTTTCAAGAAATCTCCTATTTTGATAATGCTACACATAAAGATCTGTTGCTAGGCATTTCTATATACACAAGTGCCTTAATAGTAATATGATACTGCAGTAAATAAAACAATTTTTTTATGCATAGAAAATATATTTATTTGATTTTAAATGATTTTATAGGAACGCAGATCTTACACTGCTACTTAAAAAAGTAACAGTAGTTTTTTCCAATTTAAAAGACCAATACTCATTTTGAAACATACAAATCAATATTTGCCAAGTTGTTACCTATTGGAAAATATTAATATGAATATTTCCAATTGGGAAAATAAATTAAATACAAAACATTACTTTGTATGTAGGTATATTATTTAATTCTCAATCAACTTAATACAATATATAAACTGAATATATTATATATGCTTTATTAGTTGCCTGCATGCCAACTATGGCTTTTAGTGGCGCCTCTCTACACACTGTCTACACAGGAGCAAGGCTGACATTTTCGCAGCCCTCTTGCATGTAAAAATTCTATATCTAAGACTAATGAGTGAGAGCATTATCGCTTGATCTAACCTTCTGAATACGTGAATTCAGGGTGCTACAATGTTTAGTCCTGCCAACAAGCAACATTAGTAAATCGAATAAGCAAAACAAAAAGTTATAAATAACGTGGAAAATAATTTTATTATTGAAAATAGTATGGGTACATAGTACATTTTCATTTTATATTTATATAAATTGGTTTCCACATTAAAGTGTGTTAGAAATCCAAATATAGGAGAGACTGAAGTAAATAAGTAAAAAATGAAGCTTATTAAATTATAAAAAACAGTTAAATTAATATTTATTTTGAAAATAGATAAATCATATTTAATATTTTTTCTTTTGCTTATTTTTAATTGGCTCACATTTTCATACCTAATTGATATAATTTTAAATCATATCCATAATACTTAGTAACCAATTTGAATACCTATGCTAAATATATATTTAAGTATAAATTAATTTATTTAAAAATCCATAGCGATTACACCTTAGAAACAGCTGAATCTACTCAAAATATCAATTTATTTCTCAAGTGTTTGTTCTATTGATTGAAAACATTTTTATCTAAAACAAGACATCTAGATATATAGAGAAACCAATAGTCTAAAGTTTTTTAGTTACAAAATGATAAGTATTACATTATTTTTTATTTTAATCCTTACTAGGTATTCTTTGTTTTTTTTTTTTTTAATAAATGAAAAAATTGTAATTTGGAACAATGCTTTGAGCTAATAAAATACCAAACTGAATTGATTATTTAGGTAATTGTAAGTAAGTACTGAAGCGCCTCTTGGTGAAGTTGTCAACTACATTAAATCTATAGGCTGGCTCACAAGCTAGGATGTGCCTATCTACTTAGGAGGATGCACAATGGGTCTACTGAGGCCTAAGTGCCGTGGGTTAACCCACCCTCCACATGTTACAGATAAGTACTGGACACTTTGCAAAATATAAATTATCAAGATATCACAATTTTAATTAAATGAGGTTTGATAAATATATTAAATTTTATTTGATATAAAATATAAAATTAATCCTGAAAAAGCAAAAATATATGAAACTATCTAAAATTTAAATATTCTGGCGTAACTACTTCTTGCAACTACTTATGATAGTAGAATACCTGATTTTTTTAATCTCAAAAATTGTCAGTATTAATATTATGAATTATGGAAATGGTTTTGTTTGTAGGAAGGTAGACTGTATTTTTCGGACTATAAGATGCACCAAACGATAAGACGTACCTCAAAAAGTTGATTTTTAGAAAACTAATTTTTATTTATTGTTAACATAATTCGTACTAACAATATTCAGTTCATCTTCACTCTCGGTACTATCACTCGCCTCATTAATGTCACTGTTCGAATTACTTGCATCTGAACTATTGTTGTCACTCCTTTTAATAACTGTGTCATCTATTAATGTTACCTTCAGGCCATAAGACGCACCCAGAATTTGATTCCATTTTTCTATGTAAAAACGCGCGTCTTATAGTCCGAAAAATACAGTAATTTTATTATGTAAATTTGGTTTACCAAACCCTATAAAATATTGCATTTAAGTCGATTTTAATAAAATACAATCATGTCCATATTATTCGAGATTATTAAATAACAAAAAAAAGAACATGCTTAATTATTAAAATGTATATTTTTGCTATTCAATGACTACCGATGCAATTTACCTGTAACAGCTCAGTTCTATTCTTTCAATAAGTACAACTCATTCAATTAACAAACTGTATCATTCAAACAATTTAAATCAATAAATTGTGAAAGTGTTTAATAGAGTTTTTATTGCTACATTATTAATGTCACTGAACTATGTAAATTCGGATATCTGACAACATCAATAACATTTAAGTATTTACTATAAGAAGAATATTGTGATGCATTTTTTTGCATGAGTAAACTTTAAAAAGGGCCCTCTTTTTAATTACAATATAGGTCAGTGTACACTGTTTTGAGCTTGAAAACCGGATTTCAGAAAACAATATAATACTATCCCTAATTCAGCCCCCTTACGAGTGAATTTGAACCACTAAAGAGGACAGCTTGTGTGGGGAAGGGACAGTTAAAGATGTTTGATGGTGCCAGTTGACTTACAGTTGAAGAAAACCTCACCCATCATCATAAAGTACATATAACAATTAAGTAGCTATAGTAATCATACTTTTTAAATAGTCCAAAAATTTTAAAAGTATTTCAGCCAAATTTTCCCGTTCAGATGTCGTAGGAGGCCAGAATAATACTTAATTATTAAAATATAAAATTGTATGCCTTGTGACCCAACTGATGTGTGTTGTGTGCTTTTATTCTCCTAATAAAATCCCATTTTTGTGTGTACAAATACAAAAGTAATTCATTATGTTTTTTATTTTAACAATGGACAATGCATGAAATGAAATTTTACTGATAATATTATATTTAAATGTAACTGGAATAAGAGATGATTAAAAAATAGACTAAGCGCTTTCGGCTTAACAAAGCCGTCCTAAAAGACGTTACAAATTAAAAAAAAAATTAATATTAAAACATGACAAAAAACTTAATGTCTATGATACTTTCCCCATTGAGTCAATTAGATTAAACCAAAGAGTACAAAATATAACCATAAAAGATAAGTCACTTGCGGCATTTACAAAGGAAATCGCGCTTCAAATGCGGGCCGACAAGTCGGCGTTTTTTCAAAGGGTGCAGAGCTAATCGGGCCATACCGGGGTTAAGCGGTAAGACGCAGCGGCGATGATAGTGGAATGTTACGGCCGATACACAGCGGGATCTAACGTAGCGGAGCAAACCAGCCTGACGCGTTGAACTACACCGGTATACGGCCGATCGAGAAAGGACTGTGGACGACTGGCGGCTGATCGCGTTAGAAGGCGGTAATTGGGCGAGTGACTCCTCTTATATAGTTATATTTTGTACTCTTTGATTAAACATAGAATTGTTATATTGCCTAAGAACGGTCTAATATTGCCTACCAACGGTCTCACATGTATCTTCGTTAATTTTTGGCATCTGCACGATTTTGGAGTCGGTTGTTTTTTTTTTTAATTACAACTTGTTTATAAAATTATGATAAGAATTAATACCAATATTATTATTTGAAACTTATATAAAATAGGAGTCTGTATTTTACTTCGGTGCTTCACATCTCGCTAATCTACCTCGATGCTCATCCACGTTTTTCAAAATAAACATAAGCTTATTCCTTGAAATAAAAATGAAGGTAATTATTTTTTTTTTTACTATATTCAAAGGCTGAAAATTGGTTTTAAAACACATTTTTGCTAAACCGATTCTTATTAATGAGCACTTGCAAGGCAATATGGCCGCTCGCAAAACGACCTGCATTGAGCAGTCTATATAAAAATATGTATCATTGACCCTGTCGAAGACAACAAGCCCACAGGGTTGCCATAACCTGTCATTACCCACGGGCAGCATTTTGACCGATCCTTGGAAATCCTAATAAGCCAAGGAGGTGTCAGTTTAACACTTCTTATGCGACAGTTTGGAACTAAACCTATACCTAACTTAACAGTTTGTTTATACGAGTATTTCTATTTTTCTGGAGTTTTAATATGTTGTGTTGAAAATTATTCCTGAAATTTTCGAAAGTAGATTAAACTAACCTTGTTGTTAGTATGGCGAGGGGGTTTTATATCAAGGGTTTTAAGCAAGTACAATGTACAACCTTGTAATTATTCTATTGGCTGCTTATGAGTGCGAATAATAAAGAATAATAGTATTCCAATACCAATTTGTTTATAAATGTCTAATTAAACGAATAAATTAAGGTTTTCTTAGAAAACTAATGACCTCTATTGGTTGTCCAAGATTTGGACAACTTGAGTCACTTTTGCATTTAAAAAGTAGCTGGTCCTTTGTGGAACACCTTGTATAAAATTTTGCACGAGCTTTATGGGAAATGCGATAATTTAACAAAAATATTTATTTAAGTAAAGATTGATCAGGAAATGTAAATATATTAAACTCACGTCCTACAGATTTTTATATTTAACTGTTTAGCAAACATGAAAAGGCAAGTACCTACGTATATTATAGTAGTCGTTATATGATCGTTTTCGAGAAAGATAAATTTATCGCGAATTTATTTATAACTATTGCCTATCTATAATAACGAACATTCTAAAAACGATTTCTTCCCACTTGCAGAGAGGCATTTGCGGTAGAGATTTTTTTTGTGGTATTTGCGGTAGTACCTGAGTTCTAGGAATTGTTCCATACTGCATGGTATATTACAAAGCGAGTATAGGGTGGATCACTTAAATATTCCACGCCGTCTTAACTTTGTTATTAATTGAGATAACAGAATTGTTTTTTTTTTTGTTTAAAAGTTTTCTGCAAGATCTTTATTATAATTAATTCAAATTATTCTGTGACGTCATAGCGTTCTTTGGCTTTTCGGTAAATCGCAATTTATTTTTATTTTTTAAATGAAAACCCCAATTTTTTATTGAAATTTATTAAACATTTTTGAATAAGCATCTTTTATTAAAAATGTTCTGTCAGCTGTTAAAATGGTCGCCATATCGAATAATACTATTTCTAAATGTGTTTAATAATTCGTTTAAAGAAGAATAGGTACATGGAAATTGATTACCTTTAAAAACTCTTTGTAAGCCTTAGTGTTCATGGAGACTACCCCTACAATGTGTTTGGTTTAAAAAAGTATGTTTGGTTCACCATTAATGGACTATCATGTATATTTAAGAATAATTTTAAATTATGGTTGTCAACGGTATACACTTTTGTTTTTAAAATTATTTCATATCTCCAATAATAAAACAGTTTTCGATCAATTACTCACTGATGGAACACATTTTGCATAAATATTAGGCTAACCATGAGGTCTGTTCCAACAACGATCAGAAACCAGTCACTGATACCAGGATTCTGTACAGTAGATTATTGGTACCGCCAAATTACTGTACAGAATCCTGGTCAGTGACTGGTTTCTGATCGTTGTTGGAACACCCATTTTGTTGCATAGCACAGTGGTCAGAAATCCAATAAAGGCTGGGCAACAGTCAAGTTATAGGTAAATAGACTTCAAATTTGGTTTACGAAAGTTTTTTAAGTCACTAATTACGAATTTGTAATTATTTCGCCAGAATTCAAAATGGCGGATCCAATATGACAGACAGTTTCTTAAAAAACTGATGTAAAATCAGTATAGATGTGTTTTGTGGGTCGCTGATTACGAATTTGTAGTTATTTTGTTAAAAAACAAAATGGCGGACATATTCTAAAAAATAGCATAGCGGAAGCTATTTAAACAATTTTGACATAATTGCTGACATAGCAGAATTATGATAATTTTATTCAGGGTCTAAATCATTCTCTAAGTTTACAAAAAAAAAATTAATTAGTTGGTATCCCTGCAATATTTTAGGGTTGAATACAATATTACCAGAGCATTCTAAAATTTAATTTTTTTGCAAAAGCGTAACACCCTGTATATCCACAAATATTTTTAAAATATACATTTTCAAATTTATATATCTTTTATTTGCGTGCGTGTCTATAACACAAATTGAAATATCGAACAATTACGCACTAATGGGACACATAAATTATGTTTACTATTGACGACTTTTTAATTTAAATCATCGTAAAATAAATTATTTGAATTTTCATCTCACGTTATTTTTTTTATTTCAGAAAAGTACCCGCAAATCAAAAAACTGTTTGGTTACGATCCCAATTTCAAATGGGTCGTAACAGGAATGGTATTAGCTCAATTTATATTGATTTGGGTGTTAAAGGACAAGCCATGGTCTATTTTGCTTCTAGCCGCTTATTGTTTGGGAGGAGTTATAAATCATTCATTAATGTTAGGTAAGTGCAGATTTTCGTTATTAGGAGGCAGTGGTGGTAATGTACATATACCTTCGCAATATGTATATTGAAGACCATGGTCATTTTTAATAGGTAAATTAAGGACCATCTAGTCCGGAACTAGCATTTAAACTGAAAGAACAATCATGTACCCGAGGATTAGTTGGATTACTACCTGGTAGCTTGGGTCATATACCTTCTACCCAAAACACATTATTGAAACCACCAAATGTATGTATAATTGATGTTATTTAAAACTAGAAGCTTAGGTCTTAATTAAATTTGTTTTTAATTTAACTCTTACAATAGATTTTGTAAAGATAAATGTCTTAATATTCTTAAAACATATTACTGACGTTATTAAAATACGATTTTCCAAACAGTATTACTCAATATAACGGAAGATATCTTAAAAGAAAGAGATTGATTTCACTTACCAAGGCTTGCATTACCTTGAACCACGCCATATTTTTTTTTTTTTTAATTTGGTGTCATCGGCGTCGACTACTACGGCCATTAGCCTCGTGTTCTGTTTAGGCTTTGTTACTGTTTCCCAGCGCCACTTTAGGAACAGCACTGTTAATTAGAACCCAACAGTGAATGGTCTAGTGGGGAATCCTACCAAGGCATCAGAATTAATTTAAATAATTAAATTAAATGAAAAAATACCGGCCAACGGTGGGATTCGATCCTGAGACCTTCCGATCTCAAAGTCATGACTCTAACCACTGAGCCAACCCACCCCCACCACGCCATATTGAGCGCGATATTAAAATCCATAGGTCTATCTAATGCTGCGCTTGAAAATTATGTCAGTAAGAGATCACAAATTGTAAAAATTGATGAGAACCTCTTCTTTCCATAATATCACATCCGGAGTTCCCTACGGCTCTATACTTAGGCCTATTCTGTTTAACTTGTATACCTCGAATATTGGCAATATTATTACCTCATGTAAATAATATCATCTTTTTGCTGATGATACCTACACAATTACACATTTCTTTCACTCCTAATGATTATAGAACTGTCGCAAACAATATTCCTAAATAAAAATAATGCTACAGTGTATTGTCAAAGTCCACAAGTTATTCGAACTATGGAATTAGATCGAGAAAATTTTCGCGCACTCATTTTTTGCAATTTTCAAAGAAAATTATCTCAAGAATGCCTCGGCGAGTTGGTTTCTGTTTTCGACAATGAAGCACCAACATCACTAGACAATTTCTCGTTGTTATGAAGAATTCAAACGTGGATGGATGAATCTTAGCGACTATCAAAGGACAGGTGAACCAAAAACGGCCGTCACCTAGGGAAACGTCGATGATGTGCTCATCAAGGAATGTCGACATGTGACATATCGCAAGATTTAGGTTCATGGAAGATTTCAAAAACCTCATTTGACAAAATTTTGCATGAAAAATTGTGTGTAAAAAAGTTTCCCATCTTTTTACCGAGGAACAGAAAGACGTACGATAGGTGTCGAAAAACTCTAGACCGATTCAACGGAGAAAACTCTAAAAACGTGTACTACAACATCAGTGGTGATGAATCGTGGATTTACTCATATGAACTCGAAAATGAACGCCAATCGCTTGTTTGGGTATTCCAAGGTAAAAAAATTCCGACAAGTCATTCGTTCTCGAAGTATATTCAAACAGATGGTCGTGACAATTGTCTCAAAAGACGGTCCCTCTGCAAGATCAATGAACTGTTACTGCCAATTGGTATACAACCATTTGTTTGCCGGAAGTAATCGCTGGCTTTGAAGAACCAACCCCGAACAACAAAGCAAGACAATTGACTTTCTAGAGCAAGAAAACATCGAATTGTTAGGCCATCCTCGGTAGTCCAGACTTAAGTCCCAACGATTGTTTTACCTTTCCGAAAATTAAGAACGGACTGCATGGTTACTGGTTCTAGACTCCAGAAGAAGCAGTTGTTGCCTTCAAAAAAGCAATTTTGACTCTACCAAAAAAGAAGTGGAATAGCTGCTTTCAGAGTTGATTCGAGCGAATGCAAAAGTACATTAATCTTCGTGGAGAATACTTAGAAAAACAATAAGGTTCTTTAAATCTATCTACTGTTTTATTCCAGCTCTCTATGCAAAATTAAAAAGACAACCCTCGTAGTTGTTGGACCTAAAAATAAACTAGAGCAGTTAAAGCATCAAATAACGATAGATATTGGTGATACAGCAAGTGGCGCCAGTCAATAGTGCTAAAAATAGGCGTTATATTTATTCTTTCCTTCTGTATAAAAAGATTTTGTGTGAGGCGTTGATTCTTTCGAATTTTAACTTTGGTGATGTAGTTTTTGAACCATGTCTTGACTCCTTCTATGTTAAAAGATTACAAGTGCCTCAAAATTCTTACTTTAGTTTAATTTGTGGGATATGGAGGCATCAACCCATTACTCGTAAACTCCAAGATGTAAATTGACTAAATAAGAAAAACTGACGCCTTTTACGCTCTGTATGCCTTTTTCATAAAATGTTGTCTAAACAATCTAAGTACTTGCATGATAAACGAAATTTCTAGGAATTTTAGTTTTAGTCATGTATTCCCCGCCATCGTACGATTCAACCGATCTTTTACTTATCAGATTTCGGCTGTATCCAACTAATTACCTGGAAATCTTGAAAGGGTCAGCTTCAATTATTGTTGGTGCGATACAAGTTCAAGCTTCTATTTGGAAAGGCGCGACTGAGACCGACTTCAAGCGTAAAACGACAGCGAAGGAGACCGAAAACGGTCTCTTCACATTTAAACACATATGAAACACATTTGGGAAGACGCGACGGACAACAGCAGTTTTAGCACGGTAGGATTTGCCGCTTGCTGTCTGTTGCTTGAAGTCGGTCTCAGTCTCACCTTCCCAAATGGTATCTTTAATACTCGTAAGCTAGCTAATAGTGATAGACTTTAAAAAAAATGCACGGGCTGAAGTTTTTTTTTCTTTTCTAGTAATTTTTCTTACTCCTGCTGAAGAAGAAAAGCAGAGGCAAATTAACTTGTCACTCATTGATAATTAATGTACCAACTGAGCTTCGACGTTTTTCTTTATTATTTTTAATTTTGGATGATGGGTAGGAAAAAATGTTGCCAGAGAATTACTATAAAATAATTTATTTTGCATTGAAAAACATTTTTCACGAACTACTTGCTTTTCAGAATAAGTTGTTCAATCGTATTTATTTATATGTATCGCACCGCCGAGATTAAAACCTATCACCCAATCTGACTCATATTTATATTAGGGTTAGAGAAGTACTTACTTGAATTGGGCTTAAATAATAATTTCTCATAAAATATAACTGTATTTTTTAAATTTATATCTGTTAATTTATTTTCTTTGTTGCATTTTGGAAAGTTCGCCAGTGGGGGCCATCCCCTCTCTCCTCTTCAGTATGATTGTCACAGGAGCTAATAAATGATTGACATGATTTAAACAGTTTTTTATCTCAAGAAAAAATCTCATTCCGTGTTTGCCTTGTGATTAAGAAAACAATCACACTGTATTTTTTCTTCTTATGGATTTATATCTACTCGAGATAAGAACTTCGATAACCTAATCGCTCCTGCATCGAGAAATTAGGTATAATATGGGTTCGCACTACGTAATTAATCTGTTCATCTGTTTTTTTTTTATTGAACTGAATATTTAATGATTACATAAGTATTGAGTCGTTAAAATCCTTTCCTATTTGACGTTTAAGAATGACAGAAATATAGAAAAAATGTCTGTGATTTGACAGTTGACAAGCATCTAATGAAATCAGTAGCTCTATTGTAATAAAATTGTATTGTCTCGAATGTCTATAGAAATGCATGGCATTTTAATCACTGCTTTTTAAAATTAATTCTAAAAATTAGTAGTTTTAACCGCAGGTATCGTGTCTGCGCACATACGCACGCACAGGCGACAAGAAGAGTTTTTTTGCGTTTTCGGACGCAGAGAGATTGGAAACGTGTTAAAAAGTGGGGATAAGGAAATTTTCTTGTCAGCCTGAATGCAATACTGAAGCCCCACAAGTTGGGGGCATCGGTAATATATCAAAATCTTAATTATTTATAATAATAAGACCAAGTTTTCTATCAATTTACTTAAAACCCGTATTCCTAGTGTTTATTGTAATGTCATGTCAGTATATTTGATTACTCAGATATTGTTTTGTTTATCCTATATAAAGGCCAGGGTGTTTCAAAAGTCGAGTCTTTCTTTTTTATATGCGATATTTAAAATTCTTGGCTTTTAAGATAGATGGAACCAGCGATGAAAAACTTCTAGACTAATCAATTTATTCTTGTACTAAGAATGCAAATTTAAAAAAGTCCTTTATTATCAAAACAGACTTGTGATCTAATTACAGGATAAAATTTAATATTTAATTAAAACTGACAAACAAATGTTCAGTGCTATTACTTATTTTTAAGAAAATTGATAACATTTTGTTTGAACATATATAAATTTGTGGAGTATTAACTCAACCTGATTACACAATTTATTGAATTTGTTACACATTGCAAATATAGGAGATTTTACAAACACATTTCTTCTTGGAAATGACAAATAAAAACATAATTATTTTTCTTGAATTAAACAGTGGTACCTATATTGAAATTAAGTTGCGATAGAAGTTGTGGGAAGTCAATAAGGCTGTGCATCAACTTATAACGAAATATGCAGGAGTAATACACATTATTCCTTGACAGGTCACGATTACTTCTAAAAACGTAATAGTTGTTTCCAAACAGTGTGACACGTCTTCTGGTTTGCGTGGAAGTGGAAGTCGTGGGTGGCGACAATCTATTATTTAGAATAAGGGTTGCCCGGGTGCCACTTTTGATAACGCAGTTTACTCTGCGACCCTCGAGTACACCTGGAGTGCGCTCAAAGTAACACCAGTGGAGTAAGTAAATTCCAGGTGGTCACTTACAAATGGGCTAGTACCTAAACGCTTCACTCAACCTAAACGGTGTAATCACCTCGTACCTTTTACCCTAAAGGTGATTCTGGAAGAACTTAGTTCTTAGTTACAATGGCGCATAAATGTTTTTTTTTATTCCTTTCAAACATTTTCAAAATAAATACTTTTGGAAGTTTTACAAAAAATTTCAGGTTTCACCACCCTTAAGTTTTGTTATTATTGGTATTCCCTGAAAATTTCACAAAAATCGGACTATGAATAAAGGCTCAGAAACAATTATACATTTTCAAGGTTTTTTTTTTAAGAAATAAAAAAATGAGGGTTCTTGAAAACGCTAACCAGTGGAAATTAACTTGAACTAAACATTTTTATTATTAAACCAAAGGAAAATTTGCTCTGAATTTGATACATCTGATTGAAGCCAAGTTTTGGTCATGGCTATAAGGTGGTATTCAGATAAGGATGTCGACTGAATTCGGAAGTTTTAGAATTTAAGCCTCTAGTGTTTTGGTATTAACAGTATAGGTCATGGTTTTAACGTTTTTTTTTTGCTCTTATAGGGTTTCCATTGCGGCAAACAATTTTCAAACGTTCTCCATTTTTGATGCATTCATTCGCTTTTAATTTAGTTTTTAAAGCTTTTAAGTCAATTCCGAATTAAAACCATAAACAATACTTGTAACAAGACTCTCTCCTATAATAATTTGACATGTACGTGGATAACAATGTGAATGCTTTTGTAAACAAAATTAGTCTAGTAGTTGTTCGTAGTTGAACGGAACATATCCACCAATTGAAATAAATCACACATTGCTTTTAAATTGATTCCGAATCGAAAGTTTAGAAAGTATATAGAAAACGTATATCATTGTCATCCTCATAGCACATGGCCTGGCGAACTTCATGAAAAGTGGAACGGGTTTGCCAGAGAGCCCTCACTTCTGCTCTCTTAAAGTTCCTATTGATGACTAGATCTAGTAAAAACGCTCAATAACATTTTTTTTAAATCATTTTGTGATGAGAAGTAATGTGACGAAAGTCTAATTTATTTTTAGTTTATTTATTTAAAAACACTATTTACAATTTATTTCAGATGTACTATTTAATTTATATAATATTTAGACACTAACTAACAATTCTAATTTATTTCTTACACTTTAACTTTTCATTACAATGTTAAACTAAACTCGGCGCTGATATGTCGGCTATTTATATTAGTCCAACTCCGCTACTGGAAAATGCTAGAGGCTCGCGAAGATTCTACCCCTATGACTAATCGGCACTCCCCGCCGTTCCAGCTGCTTCCAGTGCATCAGCGGCAGACATTCCGTCGTATTCTTGTACATTCGAGACGCGGTCCGGCTGTTTCCACACGTCAACGTTGCTTCGATCACGAGTTGGTTGCGTGCGTACACAGGGTCGGATTAGGAATTCATAACAGTATGTTAATATTTTCCAATGATAGGTACTTAAAAGGGGCATGTCATATCTCTCTAATTTTTGAGTTTATATAAAGTTACTTGAAAAATTTATTTGTGTGGCGACATCGTAATCCCTACATAATCTTACCTTTAGTTTTAACTTTCATGATATTACAGTGTAAGAATTTTAGATTTATTTTATCTATCGATACCTCACGTATCAAGACGTCTATTTTCATTTGACAGACTGCTGTACTTATGTAATATCTCTCTCTCTATTCGATACGGATCATGTCGAATTCGTACATAACATGCAGATGTCATAATTATGTTACGCAATCTGTGATTACTCCTTAAGCAGGTAGATCATCGTCGATACCGTTTGAGGTACATCCTGTTCTGTTGTGCCTTGGTAACGGTTGGAAAAAAGACAAGGAAAAAAGAAATCAACAAGAAGACAGAGACAAAACAACGACTTATATTCACACGTCCAAAATTATTATATATTCGATAAACAAAATGTTTTTGAAACTAATTTAAATTTAACTCCATCCTACAGTTTGTTTTATGGAAAAACGTTATGTAACAATAATTGCAAAAATATTGCTATAAAAATCTAGAAATTGCCGAAAGGAGCTGTCTGCATACAATAACCAAAATTCGACACCCGCAAAATTCTCTACATAACCAATTCAGTCACCTCTTATACAACCAGACCGGTGTAATTCCAATAAAAAAAGGTATCTCGAACTGGGAAAAAAATACTCAAAAAAGATGCTGTATGGGAAGATATCTTAAACTTTAAATAGGGCAGGCAGAAAGACTTAGGTCGATAGCCTTTTTGGGATACCATTAAAGATATTTTGTTGTTTTATACCCTATTAAAATAAAAGACCTAATTTATGAATCACCCTGTATAATTTGTCATTTTGATGATAGATAGGGGAGATATGGTATTTTTTTTTATTAGAATGAGATAATAGGATTACTAAGTTGTAATAAATGTGTTTTTTGCAGCAATTCATGAAATTTCACACAATCTGGCATTTGGACATGCCAGGCCTATGGCCAACAAGATGTTTGGTTTTTTCGCTAATTTACCCATAGGATTACCAGTTTCTATCAGTTTCAAGAAGTACCACTTAGAACATCATAGGGTAAGTCTATATATAGACATAAAAATTGTACATTTAGATGTAATTGTTTATGATTTCAGTATCAGGGAGACGAACAGAAAGACACTGATATTCCCACATACTTAGAAGCCAAATTATTTTGTACAACATTCGGAAAATTCATATGGGTGCTGCTGCAACCGCTTTTCTACGCTTTCCGTCCGTTAATCACGTACCCCAAACCACCTACTAACTTGGAATTCGTGAATCTAGTCATTCAACTCATTTTTGATGCTATTGTTGTCTACTTTTGTGGTAAGTAGAACACTTTGATTCGCTGTATAAAAAAAAGTGTGTTATTAGAGAGTTATCGAAGCATTCAAATAAAAGCTGCTTTTAATAAGAGATCCTGTAAGGTGATTTTAGAAATAAATTATCGTAAGTGACTTACTATTTAAAATATAACATTTACTTTAATTTGACAGTTACCTTGTAGAAAAACGACTGTCGGGTCATAGCGGAAGGATTATCAGGTATTGACAGACAATAAATACATTGATAGAAAAACTATCAGAATGAGAAATTTTAAAAGACCGTAAAATCTGCAGTGGATTTGCATGGGTATAATGTCAAGATAAGAGAAACTTTATTAAATGAAGTTAAAAAAATACCTTTCTATAACTCTCTATGGAAGTTTAAATATGTATCTATTGTGTTCTATTCTAGGAGGTAGGATGTTGGGATACCTCTTGCTGGGCTCGTTCATGGCGATGGGGCTACATCCAGTGGCGGGCCATTTCATTAGCGAACACTACATGTTCAAAAAGGGTTACGAAACTTACAGTTATTATGGTCCTTTGAACTGGATAACCTTTAACGTTGGGTACCATAACGAGCACCACGATTTTCCAGCTGTACCTGGATCTAGACTTCCAGAAGTAAGTAATTTTAGTTGTTTCACTACATTGTGTTATATATGATCTAGTCTTATAACTACTCAGATTTGATTGAAAAGTAGTTGGACCTTATTTATCCTTTTCCAAAGCGACCTTTTTAGTTGTATTGTGGGATTCCATTATTTAGAGTAGCTCTGTCTTTTTTAATAGGCTTAGTAGCATTGACAGTGGCTCCCACATTTAGTCACATGCGTTTAGCTTTTATCTACTTATATACAGAGTAACTTAATGACAGATCAGTCTTGTCATGATGAGAGAAGAAAGGAAAATAATTCCATACTCAAGTGTGACCAAGACGTAAATAAAACAGAATAACTCAGTCATGTGTAACATATTATTAATAACATCCACGGATTCTCTACAGGAAACAACTACCTGTCTCGCCTGGCTAAGTGCTTCACAGACATTGAATTATATGGGACACAGAACAACTAAAAATAAGACGATTAAACGAAACATGCTTAGGTAAAATATTACTAGTTTCCGAAATATAGGGTGTTAAAGTTGAAAATTCAAAAATTATTAATGGTTGTAACTTTTTTACTTCTCAGTATAATATTACTAAATTCGGTAAACATTGTTAGTGTCATAAGATACACCTATCAAAAACCATTATAAAACTAATACGATAAAACACAAACAAAAATAACTGAGGTCATGTTAAAAAGGAATGAAAACAAAATACCAGTCTGAAACAGTGCCAATCTTGTTTTCTATAATGTATATTATTTTAATAAGCACTAGGGGGTGGGTGGCTCAGTGATTAGTGTCTAGAATTGCGAATTCAGGGGTCCGCGATTCGAATCCCACCGTTGGCCAGGATTTTTTTAATTTAAATATTTAAAATTAAGGTAGAATTCTTCTCTCCGACCATTCATTGTTGGGTTCTAATTAACATTGCTGTTCCTAAATGGCACATGGAAACAGTAACAAAGCATACACAGAATACACATTAACAAAATAAATTACAAACTGAGTCTGTCTAATTTGGTAGATACCACCAAGTCATTAAACAAAAATTAGGTACTATCGTTTAATACATGGACCCCATAGCCCCCCTGGAACCGTGTTGCAATATTAAAGTGGAAATTAGCATTAACATAAACATGTTAGAATGTAAGTATTAAAATACGAAAGGGGGTTTTATTTAGTATCGGGACGGTGGTGTAGCGGTTCGCGCTTATATTCATTTATAGGCAAGTTTATGAGTCTGAGACTGCTGGGTTTCGAGTCCCAGACCGGATCATGTGGATTTTTAATTAAATTGCATGGTTCGGTTTAGGATTTGATGTGTGGCGTATTAATAGAAATTCAGTTTCTGTTGATATGACATGCAGATTAAAAAAATTCGCCATACATTACCGTCTCGATGATGGTGGGTGAGGTTTTCCGTGTTTTCCTTACCTGTAAGTCAAATGGCACCATCAATAATCTTTAAGTCGCCCCGGAGCGCCACGGCAAATAATAATAATAGCCTTCCCTTCCCCTACACAAGTCGTTCAGTCGACTTCAGGGGTTGAAATTCACTCGTAAGGGGGTGAATTAGGGAGAGTATTATTATTATTATTATTATTATTTATGAGTCACTTTTCCTTGATTTTAGAAAAAGTTTGTATTATCTGGTTAGTGTGTAAAATTTTTAAAATATCTTTATTAATATGGATAAAAAAATTAGCTTTTCATGCGCAATTGATTGACGAAGATAAGTTTTCACCCGTTTTAGCCTGGAAATTATAGAAAAATTGAAGGCATACATTCACATTGGGAATGAACATGTTAGTTTATTTTTATGTAACAATTTCTCTAAATCTTTGTGAGATTCCACTTTAATTTCATCTCTTAGTTCATTTAAGAATTTTTTGAAGTGAATGCACTTTTCAAGAAAATATATGTCGTTCATATATTATGTCTTTTAATTGCATTTAATACTATATCTTCGTCACTTAATTTTTTTAAATTAAACAAAAATTCTAACACGTTTTATACACTTTAAATTGAATACTTTCTGCTTGAAGATTGTTAAGGATTGAAAGGAAATTTGTGATCATATTTGAGCTAATGAAGATAAAAGGTTAGCTTGTTGAAGAGCCTTACTTACGTCATTTGTGCGGTGTAAAATATCCAACCAAAATGTTAAAAGAATGCTATTTTCAAGAAGCTCTAATTTCTCGGCAAAACGAACTTAAGGCTCTCACAACACTTTTTTCTTCTCTATTTTGAGATATTTATTCTAAACATCTTTTGATTGATGCATAACTTCGCCCTTGGGCTTTGAAAGCATCAAATCGTGATGACCATCGTGTAGTGTCAACTCTCCCTGCGCACCGCCCTATTTACGCTTTGTCGCTCGGTTCTATAGCACCCATGTAAAACCGGCTCTGCTTATGATATACCATAAGATAATAAGTCACAAATGTACATGTTGGTTCTAGTATAATATGGTTACATGTGTCCTACAAAATACTCCAATATCGCTTGATTATAAAATACAAAATATTAGTACCAACTGATGTATTAATTTCAAAGATCTAGGGGTCAATTTTGTCTCAAAACTTTCAGATATTGCCGATATATCTGCTGGTGTGTCAAAAATGTAAGCAACATCGTATGTATTAAAATATATGTATTTTGTTTTTTATTTTTTTTAACTGAAATTTTAGGAAATATAAGTATAGACCAATTTTTGTAGGTATTACATCTCAAAAAATAATCTGTTTTTGCTCCACCCTAATTCACAATACCCGTAGTTGTTTTCTGTAGTGAAGCGGTCGTTCGTATTATTTTATCACATCACTTAAAATAAATATTTTTTAGGTCAAACGGATAGCTCCTGAATTCTACGACACACTACCGCAACACCACAGTTGGACGGCGGTTTTGTACGACTTTGTTATGGACCCGGATGTGGGCCCCTACGCAAGAATCAAAAGGAAAGCAAAAGGCCTTTCAACATAATTTATTATCACCTTGTATCGATATTTTGTATAAATATAAATGCAGGGTAGCCGCCAGATATAGAAACCATAAAAGAATAAAGGGGTTTTCTGTTATGTATATTTTTTTTATTAATTCCGAATTATATTTTTTTATTATATAGAGGAAACAAATGAAAATATTTTGGTACTGGATAAATTATTCTTCTATTATTTTTAGGACTTGTTTTGTATATTTAGATGCAAATATATTTACAAATTTTTACACGAGTCTTGTGGCACCTTTGTAAAATTTATTGTGATTTTCAATAATCTCAATAAGAAGGTTGTAATTTATATTATATAGGAAAACCTTAACTTATTACATTTTTGTGGATGAAAATTGAAACGCTTAGTCCAAACTGTAATAATACTCGAATATTATAATATATAAGTTGTTACTTAATTTTGAGTAACAAATATTTTTGTTCAATGTACCACAAAACCAATTAAAATCAGAAGTTGAAAATAAAAATGAATTACAATATTTTTGTTTTACAGTTTTGATTACATATCCCCCATTTACAGGTTTTTATTCCTTTAGCCAACGTGAATTACCAGATTGAATGACATTTGCACCTTCTCAATTTTTTATATCCTGAAATCGATTGGCTATAATAATAATAATAATAATAATAATAATAATAATAATAATAATAAATATCTTTATTATTTTCATTTCGAATATACAGAATAATTTACATATTACATAGCAATTACATTTTTTGTAAAATGAGAAATAAAGGGCGAAGTTCAATTCATGTGATGAAAATTCACCACTGAATTGCTCTTCCACTTAACCCAAAACAATAAAAAAAATAAAATTATATTATATTTATGAATATATATCGCTTGAGCCGTTCAATACACAGAAAATAAAGAAAAAAGAAATTAGAAAGACATGAGATATACCTATTAAACATTATCTGAGCATTTACAATTATGCAGCATATAACACATTTTTCATGACTGACGGATTTTAGTGAATTTGGAACATTATTATAAATTGCACATACATGATAAGAGAAACATCGTCTAAACAACTTCTATCTATTCTACTATTATTATTATAAAATAAAATTAAATCTTCAGGGGGTTGAGATCCAGCAACAGAAGATAGTTATTAATGTCAACAGGGTTATTAAGGCGATCAGGAATGGAGTATTCTTTAACAGGCAAAACTCTATATGTTTTCAGTGATTTCCAAAATTGTTTAGAATTTTTATTATTAAATTAAAATGTAAAGAAAGCTTTTTCTCCCGTTTTATAGCACTGTTTGTGTAATTTCGCATATCTTTATAAAATTGGAAATGGACATCTGACTTAGTGTTTTTATACCTTTTAAAGGCTTTATCTCTAATATCCATCATTTCCCTTATTACACCGGTAAGCCAAGGAGCCCGCGTTTTAGTTATCCGTGCTGTCACTAGTGGCATATGTCCATAGATTACAATGTGAATAGATGGGAAACTCAATGGTAAAATTCTGAGTCGATGTGCTGCCATCTATCAAATTGGAGTGGTACTAAAATTCAATACGGCCGCCGCGAGCGGGCTTTTTGAAATGTAACTTTGTAGTAGCGCAAAAATGTAATGAAGAAAATCAAATAAAGCAAAAAAATTGGAAACATATTTGACTAGTTATAATTATAAAACAACCATATTGACTGTTTTGTGATTTGAAACTAGTCAAATATTTTGCCAATTTATATCTTTATTTGATTTTACTTCATTATATTTTTGCATTAATTTCAAACTTGAAATAAAATGCATTTTTTTTATTTTTTTTTTTATTACAGTAAATTAACGCCGCATCATATAATTTGTCTATTTAAACATGGAAATACTCAAACAAATATGCATTTACACCATTTAAATAATTAAATATTTATAAAACAAACCTATCAAAAATGTTTTCTGTAACAAAATCAGCATATATAAGTGGTCAAGACCTTTATAAAAGTTTTGCGACTTGGAGTGGCAAATAAGTTTGAAAAAATTGAAGTTGAAGCATCATCCTTTTTTACTATCGAGGCAAATTTGAGTGTGGATAAAATTTGCCATACGGTTATTGAGTCGACTAGTTAGGTTGAGGAGCATTTCTTCATCCGATAATTGTTTTCTTGATTAATTTATACAGCACTTGTAGTTATAAAATTTTTATTCATCATGAGAGCACTGTGATAAATGAATTTAACTTTTGAGCATAAATTAAATTTACACACGTTTGGACCCTTGAAGATTTTAGGGTGTTTTCTTGTTTGATGTCAATGGCATTGAATCAATTTTTGATATTGATGGCTGAGGCTCAAATATTTCATCGATCGACAGGGTATTTTGGAGGGCCAACATTTTCTTTACAACAATGATCATTTAAAAACTGAAAACACAAAGAAAATTAAATAATAAACCAATTATTTTAACACTGAATCAAAAACAAGTTTGTAATATATTACTTACCGTTTGTGCCAAACAGTGATTGTGTATTTTTCTTAAGACGCTTATTACAAATTATTTTGGTTATCCTTAATATGACGACTGCATATTTAATGTGGTATAAATTGCATCACTACCAATATCTGGGAGTGCTTTATTGTTTGTTGCTGAAATCCATCTTCCCGTCTTTTGAAAACATGCTTAAAATTGGAAGGTGTTGAAAAATAAATCTAGATTCTAGATGAAACAAAATCCAATACACATACACCATCAAATGCAATAGCCATTTTAATTTCTCAAAGTTTGAAGTTTTGACGAGCTGACAACTGACATGACATTTCGATACGAGCGCCATCCCGTTAATTGGAGTGGTACTAAAATACCAACCTCATGTTTTTCCATTTGAGTTACCAGCCCCTGCATATGTCTATCAAACAAATTATTCAGTTTACCAAAAAATTAATTTTTTTCATCTACCCCCTCTTGATCATATATTCTAAAAAAAAGGCATATTATACAAGTCTCGCAAAAAGTCGTTTTCATTAAAAAGCTTAAAATTCCTATAAGTTACTGTTTTCGGTACCTCTTTCTCCAAATAAACTTTTAATTTGCAATAAGCAATATCATGATCAGCAATAATACCTGTTACTGGGATGACACCCTTCTCCACTAGCCAATCTTTAGATGTCACAATACCATTTAAAAGTGTGGCTGTTGTATCTGTAATTCGTATTGGGGTATCAAGAACTTGATAGAGCCCAAAACATTGAAGAATAGTTAACAATTTATCTATTGTAGTATTTTCAAAATTTAAAAAATCTATATTAAAGTCACCTCCACAAATCACTTTATCAAAACTTGGACTAAGTATGTCCTCCATTTCATCAATGAATGACTTAGCATTCACCGTAGGGGGCTTGTATACCGCACCTAAAGCAATTGTTATATTTTTAATTTTAAGCTTCACCCAAAGTTGCTCAGAAAATTTACCGCTACAGTTTAATTTAGTGCTATTTATGTTACTTTTGACGTAAATACACAAGCCTCCCCCGGCAGATCCTCGATCTAACCTGTATAAAGTATATCCTTCTAATCTAACTAAATCATTTGAATATATTTTCTTAAGCCAGGTTTCACATATAATAAAAATATCAAGAGTGTTCCGCAACAATCAATTTCACATCATGCATAGATGGCAACAACGATCTTGCATTAAGACAACTTATATACAAAATATTCATTTAATTCAATTCAAAAATATCAATACAAGTTACAATCAAATACAAATAAAAGTTTAACAGGTATAACAAAAACTTGACTACTGATAAGATTAACAATAAAAATAAAATCGCTTACCAGAAGTGAAATTGGGTACGATTCAACTGCACACATTAGATGCTGCTAAACCTATTTAATACCAAAAAATAGTATAATTTAGAAAAATAATCATTTTCTAAACAACCTAAAGAAGAAAGGACACCGAATAAGAAAAATAACATTTTGCTAAATGAGAACTAAATAAATAGTTCACAATTTCAAGATCTTCACTTGAAAGAATTTTGTATACATTTTCAGCTCCTTCCAGCTTGATGAAAATTGTACCAGGTTTTCCCATTTTTACCAATTTTTGTTATCGCCATCTTTAATAGTCTTGATTGCTCAGGAGTAAGATCTTCTCTTATATTAATTTTTGTAGATATCAACAACTTCTTATTGGAGTATACCGTATTTCTTGTAAATGCGTTATAGAATTTTACCAATATAGGTCTTGTTTTACCGATAACAACTTTTCCAATCCTATAAGCACATTCTATATCAGACGAGCTTACGTTTAATTGCATTTTATGAAAAGTATTTAAAACACTGAACAGTTCTCTTCTTTAATCTCAATAGTCTTAATAAAAACGATTTGACAGATGAGATTTAACAAGTAATGAAAAAATCACACTAATTAACCACAATCAAATTTTTGCTAGCCATTGTTGACATTTTTTTCAAACCACATTCTACAGATTTAAGGCCTGCAGATTTTTTCATTAATAATATGGAAATAAAAGACAAGGATCCGTTTAATGTTTTAATTCAATAAATATTTTCTGTAATAAATGTGTAAAACAATAGCATTATGTATATAAATTGTGTAAATTCAATCAATTTCCCTATAAAAATGTAAGTACTATTATAGAAAAGACAATCGGTAACTACCGTTGCAATTATACAAGTACACAATATTACGTAAAAAAATTGTCTAAGTAACAAAAAAAAATTGAAACTAGTAGGCAGCGTAATTTTATCTTAAATTAATCTAAAAACATGTGAGTGATAAAAACAATGCAAAAAAATTAAAACAAAATTATTCTCTGTAAACATATAAAATTGCCAATACATTAGTAGGCCAGCGCAAAAGTGCGTTGAAAATGTTTGACAGATGACAGAATATTTGAAGGTGACATATTCAGTTTAAACAAATGTCATACCGCTGGTACTGGCAATAAAAAACAGCCATAATTAACCACAAATAAGTTTCTGTAAGCCAATGTTGACATTTTCTACGAAATTTTGGGATATCAACTTGTCTGACAATAAATTACGAAAAAAAAAAATGTTTTAATCCTCACTAGATAATAGATCCACATTCTAACTCATTAATCACTAATTTTTATCACTTAATCTAGTGCTCATCAAGTCAAGATCCTATTGAATCGAATATTAAAATTGATAGGCTTTTATCATTCTATTTTTACAATGTTAAGTATATTTATTACAATTAAATAGAAAAAGTTAAAATACTTTAGAGTTATGCAAAAATATTAGTAGTAATTACATGATACATGATAAAAAAAATACAATGAAATACAAATTGGGCCAATAAAATGGCATTTTTTTATAACAAAAATTGACATTTTTGGACACCTAAATCCACGTTAGAATGAGAGAAAATTTATTAGCACTCTTGATGGCATAATTAACAATGACGATTATTTTAGTGACAAAATATAATGTCACATTTTAGTTCATTCTAAATTACTGCAAAAAAAATTACAATACTAATAAGCTGTTTGAACAAATATCTTAAATGCTTTATAACGTTTGTTTACTACTTATACGTCAATTTGACATGTGAGAATTGACATATTTAAAGAGATTGCGAATAGGAGAACTTTGCCTCAAAATTAAAAGAGATTAGATATATAAGACTGCTAAATCTTTGTCAAAGATTACTAGTGATTCGGACAAACTTGATATATTTAGCTCTTTTGCAAGAATACCGACGCAACTCAAAAAACTTCAATTCGAGATAATAAAGTTTGAAAATTGATTTAACAGGCTGAAACTTGAAAAGTGTCATTGTTTCTGTATACAGAATTTACCTTTTTAATGATGGTGCAATAATGTCAGAATTGATGATTTTTAAATTGTACCAGTATTCTCGGTGATCGATTTTTTTATATTATTATTATTATAAACATTAAGTATGCCTAAAAGTAAACACGGAGACAACAAACTGATATGTCAATATATCGCTGAGCAAAGTTCCCCTATGTGCGTCGTACAACCGTTCGACATTAAGATATTTGCAACGTTGTAAAAGTTAAGTACTTTTGAAAAACTTCGTTATTGGAAGACTACGAAAATTTTAAGTACTGATTGTTAAAGTACAACGAAAAAAATTCTGAATAAACGAGACGAGCTTAAAATATCGCCTGAAATTTATATGGAAGATCTTTTGTCTTAGTACCGTCGGCAGTTGTAACAGTACTAACTTGAAAGAAGACAGCTGTCAATGTAATAGCAAACACCTGACGGCTGACTGTCATGAAATCAAGATATTTTCAATAAGCAATAGAAATTAACTTTGGATTAAGAAACCGGATATTTACAGTCGCACTGATGTATAATGGCAATGATTAATAATTTAATATTAGGAAGAACTGTTATGCCTATAAAATTAGAAATTGAATAAAATGAATTTTGATCTTATAGTCCGATTTTCCAAAACAAAATTCCCCACAAACTTAAATTTGCAGTACAGAAAGGCACAAACCGCAATTATAGGGGAATTCGAAAATAATATCAGGAATTTGTGAAGAATGATTACAGAGATGTCATATGAAATACTCAATATATATCAGGCACTGAATATTCCGCTTGTCCGTAACCTCTGAAATCTCGAACGAAGTTTGGCGGAATGACAAATGACAGCGTTCTTCACACATTCCGTTACTACCTATTACTTTCGGATTGACTGTAATATTAACGTCAATACCTGTATTGAAAAATCCGATCTTAAAAAGTCACCAGACTCGAAAAATAATACTGTAAAAATGCTTATTAACAACATCATATCATTAATAACAAAAAAAAACACCGGATATCACCTTACGATCAAAAATTTTAACAAAATACCTACGACATGCCCCTTATCTCACCTATTCGTATCCAAAGTGTTCATTTCTAAATGCTTAGCTCCGTCAACATTCTGAGGAGGGCTAGTGCCGAACGAATTAAATGTAGACAGATTTTTGTCCTGTTCAAAAGAACTAGACAGTACCTCGGGCGTAGCCGCGAGCTCATTCACAATCTCAACATTATGGTAGCTTACGTCAACTTTTGACGGATTAAACGTCAATTTATTGACGTCATTGTGACCGTTAATGTCAACATTCAACGATCTGATGGGAGTGTTGGCATTTGACACAGACCCGTGACCGTTAATGTCAATATTCACCGATCTGACGGGAGTGTTGACTTTTGACGCAGAACCACGTCCGTTAATGTCAATATTCACCGATCTGACGGGCGTACTGACGTTTGACGTCGAATTTTGACTGTTCATGACGTTTGACGTATGTATCGCGAAAGTATTGGTGCCATCGAACGGTAACTCTGGAATATTGAGATTAGAACTAGCGGGGTCGTAGTTGGTATTGTTGCTGAGGCTTTTGAAAGTGTCACTGCTTAAACTCGGTTGGTTATCGGATGGCAAACTCGAAAACAAATCATCCTGGCTGAAGTATCCATTGATGGGGTGTTTAGGCGAGCTAAAATTGAGGTTAAGCGTCAGTTTAGCTGGAGTATTGGGCAAGCTCTTGTGTTGCGGTTGAACGACGTTCGGAGCGTCGTACAATTTATTGAGTACGTGGTTTTTATCGAACCTATTCTCTCTTTCTACCACGATTTCGGCTTTGCAATCGGGTTGCGGACTCATAGGACTGGTGGCCGATTTGAAATCTGACGTTAGTACCGGCCATTTTCTATCGGCGTTAATATCGCGCTCGACAGCCAAATATTTCCGCTTGGATTTATCGACGTTGTGGAACTTGAAGCGAAGTTTCTTGAAGAATATCTTCTCGATGATGAAATACTCGACGAGCATGCTTATTATGAAGTTAGCGAACGCGTAAAAGAGCAAATACAACCTAAAATTGAAGTCGTCCGGTAGTACCAACTCGAAATTTCTGATTAAAAATTGAGCGGGGTAAAGAGCGAGGTATATCGAGATTCCCGTCATGATGATAGCGCTGATGATGAATCCTGAGTTGGAGAAAATGCTTTTCCTATATGGGTAACCTTTGGAGAAGACGATAGCCAGGATGATGTATTGGAAGCTGGATATGGTGTAGATGGTGTAATTTTCGACGCAAGCTACGTTTTCGTCATTGTGTGTAGCGTTTAAAGGAACATACCAAGGTTCACTTTTTAGATGTTCAAACGCGGTAACCTGGAACATCAATACCAACGCGATCTGGAACAGGAGACTAAAGATCGGACTGACGCTAACCAAGCTGCTCAACGGCGTCTCTTTAACCAACTTGCCTGGATAGGACTCGGTACGACCAAAGAAAAATGCGAACACCGATATTATAGCTAAATCGATGTACAAGAATTCCATATCGGTCAAATTCGATTCGATGCTGTATAACAGCAATACCGAAATGAACTGACACAACGAATAAGCCGCCATGTATTTGAAGATGCCGAAACTGGTGACGAGAGCCGCTCGGCCCTCTTTGATGACTTTGAGCACGCAGGTTATGTTGGGGTTGCGGGAGGTGAAAGGTGAAGCTACTGAAGATTCGGCTTCCGATAGAGAGATGCCCGTGTGGGCGGCTCGAAGGGCCCCGCAATCGTTGGCGCCGTCTCCGCACATAGCCACGCAGTAGCCTAAGCCTTGTAGTTCTTGGACGAGTTGTTGTTTTTGGTCTGGAGCCATACGAGCGAAAATTGTTCCTGTAAATGAAGAAAGTGTTTAGTTTCATATGTGGCAACGTTACCTAATAATTGACTTCAGTCGTGAACGTCATTTCTAGGAATATGATTGGCTCGAGAGTTTTTTTTATGTTTACGGTTAAATTTCAAAACGGGGAAAATGGAAAATCTGGTAAAATTAATTTAAAAAAGGAAATATATTGGAAATTAGATGAAAATGAGGAAAAATTTAACTTAAAATATGATGTGTCCAACACATGATTTTGCTGTAAAGTTATCAACTATTAAGAATAGTCCATCTAATCAAAACGTGTTTAGAATATGAATTAAAGATAAAAATTATTCAAAATATTTTTCATATCTTAATTGCCAACAAAAATACGTTTCTCCATTTCGGTACATTTTAGAGAAATCATGTATGGGACAAAAATTATAGAATGACATCACAACTTTCATTGAGATATTTTTTTCTGTAATCATGAATAACAGAAATATAGCTTAAGGGCGACGACGGGCCATATATCGAAAATTGTTTATCTGGACAATTTGGCAATTTTTTTACAAAATCGTTAAAAGAAAAAACCTAAAAATGTTTTTAACTTTGTAACTCTCCGCTGTCACGTGATGTATCACATACAAAATATAATTGTTTTTATAAAAAAATTATATAATTTTAAACCTGGTCAGCTGTAGGCTTCGAAGCTGGTGTTTCAACTACAAAATTGCCTTTAAATGAATACAAGCGCGTTAGACACCTACGCCACCGAGACGATACATATATACAGGATGTCTCAAACCGAAATACCAATATAAACTAATATTTTTTTTAATATTGATAATAGGTTTAAAAATTGTGGGAACCTTATAGAAGTAAATAAAATTTCCTTTATATTAGTACCATAAAATACAGCGAGAAAAACAGGATAATACAAAAATAACGATGTTAGGGCAAGGATATTGTGGAATCTCAATAAAAAGAAAGAAGGAACCAAGATAAAAGGTTTAACGTAATACCTTCTTAAAATGAGAAAGGAAGATAAGAAAGAAATGAAGAAAGATGAACAAGATAAGATAGCAATGAAGAAAGCTATTGAACAGATAATAAAATGTATTGAAAATTGTAGAAATTCAAAAAGGTTGTCATCATTCCATACTCATTTACCTAGATATAGAAAATTTGCCCTTAAATATGCTAAAAAAAATAATTACAAATTTTCTGCTCACAATTATAGTTCTTAGAATCCGATCTTACAAACTTCTTATAGATGTTTCTCGTGTTTATGTAAGTGTTAAATTATTATTTTAATGTAGGTATATTTTTATAATTTAGTTTACTATATGATTTTAATACAGTAATACATTATACATTTTCTATATAGTTTTAGGCTTTATGTCGATGCTAAAACATTGTATTTTGTTAGTAAGCAAATGCATTTTTTATTATTATTACTTATATGGCTATATACTCCTCCAAACATTACAAATTATAAACTTACCTCTAGTAACAATCCGGCTGATCAACTCCGGATAATAATCCTTGAGCACGCTCCACACCTTTCCAGTCATAGCGAATCTATAATTGTTCAGCAACATGCTAGGTCTCTTAGAATGCGAAACGGCTACTACAGTGCTATTCGTGATCGTTTGCACCTGGCTTTCGACCGTTTCCAAACTCATTATGCTGGCGGAATTGGTCAGACAACTCAGATCCGTCGGTAGATTTTTGTTTTTGGTGTTGGTGAGGTTGTAGAAGATATTTGGTGGGTGCGAGTTATCGCAGTTGACGGTGATGACGCTCTGGCCGGGCGTGACGATATCACAGTCTTTGGCCACGCTCAGAGCCGTCAAAATGTTGTCACCTGAAAAGTAATGGTCCTTGAAAATAATTGGTTGTACATATTTGTACTATTGATATTTTTTGTGACATGCATATGTACCACTTAGAGAAATGGGTTACATTATCACTAATAATTATTATCGGATAGTCAGTTATTGGTGGTACATATTTGTATCACCATTTTTTGTGGCAAGCACTCAGAGAACTGGGTTAAATTACAATTAATATTACCGCATAGTCAAAACTCAAAAGGTCTAGTTCCCTTCTGGTACAAATAATACATACCACGCTTTGATAACTATTGTTTAACAGATGGCTCTAAATGAAATTAGGGTAAATATTTGTACCTCGGAGCAGAACCTTGATAGAAATGGATTTTAGGGTCGATGTTTCAATCAAACATAACAAGCAGATGATCTATAACAGATGGTACATGTATGTACCAACACCAGTTAACTCTTTAATGGTCAACACTCCATGATAAATAACTTAATTTGGTGGTACATATTTATACCACCGTTTTTTGTGGCACTCATACATAATACTCACAATCAGAGAAATGGGTTAAATTATAATAATTATTACCGCGTAGTCAAAAATCAAAAGGCCTAGTTTATTTCTGGTACAAACATGTACCACATATTTATACGATCTTTTGATTACTGGATGGCTCTAACGGAAATCAAGGTAAATATTTGTACCATAGAGCACAATCTCTATTGAAATGGATATTATGATCGTTGTTTCAGTCAAAAACAATGGGCAGATGATCAATAATAATATTCAAGGAACATTAAGACAAATATTTTCTAAAGGTATTAATAGTAAAACCATTATACCATAAATAAAGAAGAACAAAACAAAAATAGTGTATAATAAAGCAAAACTCACCTGTAACCATAATCACCCGAATGTTGGCATCATTTAGAGCCTGTATGCACGGCGTAGTGTCAGGCTTCAATCGATTTTCCAACACAATCAGTCCCAGCAAATCCAAATCCTTTTCGATAACGTCTCTCTGCACTTTTTGGACTTTGGCGTAAGACAATTTCAATTCCTTGTGAGCCAAGGCTATTACTCTGTAACCTTCTTGGGTGTAAGTTTCGAGAACATCATCGAAATCTTGAGGTACCGATTCTGGTCTGACGAATTTCAAAATCATTTCTGGAGAACCTAAAAAAATAATATAATTAAATAAGAAACAGTAGCATTTTGACCTAAAAGTTAAACGTATCAAAGTTAAATGGAAAATGAATGACAAATTACAAATCTATCAGCTGTCAATTATATATTACCAGTCTTCACAATATTACCTATGGAGAGTAGAGGCAAGGAGAACTATCTCTGTATACAAAAAGTGTCCCTCAAAATGTATAAAGGGCCCCACTCACCTCGTTCTTCTCCGCCGTTTTTAACCGACGGTTAAAAACGTCAGGGTAAAAATGTCACAAAAACGAGGTGTATGGGCAAGAACGTCGTTCCAAAATTTCAGGCGAATCTTGATTTTTGACGGTTATCCTGCCAACCGTTCGAGTAATGCATGTTTTTGTTGTTTATTATTATTTACAACTGGTTATAATAAAAATGTCGGAACTAACATTTTTTATTAGAGTTTATCGAGCTTGGCAGGTTTCGGGTATTATGCGTCCTAGTGCCTGCGCTGAAATAATAACAGAAAACTTCAGATCCTCGTAGCTGCGGCCAGTGGCCAGAAACCGCAGAGTAGCTGTTAGGCGTTCGTGAGGACTGATGCATTCCCGTAAATAGGTATTATGTCTCTCAATTAACGATCTTACTAGTTTTAACAGTTTCCGATACGTATCCTCGTCCATCCTCAAGTAATTGTGCCAATCACCAGGCTCCAATCTTAGCTCCTTCAGTAAATTTGTTTGTGACAGTGTACTGCGTTTAAGTAGCCAGTTTTTAGTCCATTTTCTTCAAGATTTTCTTTTTTCGCGATTTTTTCCACTGCCAAAACCGCTGCCACTGCTAACAAGCACGTACGTGATAAACTGGCGCGAAAAAAACTGTTGTGTGTGGACATATCAGTCAACGTTTTTCCTTCCAACGTTTTTAACCGTCGGTTAAAAACGGCGAAGAAAAACGAGGTGAGTGGGACCCTTAAAATTAAGATGGTGCTTCTGTACCAGAAGGGAAAATCCAATGATATATAGTTATGTATATTGCTCACCATATGTAAATAAGAGAGTGGGTGTAACGTACCCATATTTCAGAAATCATCTAAAAATTGTTTAAGTGATTTCGGTGATTTTGCTTGAAAATTCACCTTAATTTTGTACGATAACCTTTTCTTGGACTAAACCCTTGTCTTTTGATCCACAAGCTGCTGCATTTACGTTTTTGAGCGACGAATTGATTTCGAAGTGATTTTGGCAATGATTTCGACCATGATTATCGACAATTTCAGAATTTTTTAGAAAATTTGTAGGGATTGAGTGAAAACGTACCAGTATTTCAGAAGTGGTTTACTCCTCGCAAGTGCATAAATATACATAATAAGGCTTATGAGGCTTTCAAGGCTTAGCCTTTAGTGGAATTGTTAATTTTATTTACCCATGTTTGATTAATATATTATTGTATTAGATCAATAGAAAATGTATAATAAACAAATATAATACTTACTTTACTTATGGTAAAAATAAACAAAAAATACAATACTATAAATGAAAACTAATAAAAAACTATTTGACTAAACTTATTTTTTTCTTTGTGTTGAAAAGTAATCTTGCCTCATTTTTCTATTTGAGTGTGACGACTTGTTTTGCCCACTATGAATAATCCCTGACAATGCCATTCAAACTGATTGCCTGCGTGCAATAATGCTTTAGGTGGCGCCTCGCTTTTCGTCATCTGATTTACATATAGATGAGCAATCTGTATGACTATATATCATTGGATTTTTCCCTTCTAGTACACGAGCGTCAACCTCATTTTATACATTTTGGTGGACACTTTTTGATATAAACAACATAAGATTGTCCTTTCATGTACACTTTGGATCTTTATAACAAACAAAACAGCAGAAAACATACATTTACAATGACATTAACGCCCGTATGCACCGTACACGTTTAATCCAGATTAAGGGTTTAATCGCGTTTAGTACCATTTTTAGCGATGCACCGTAATAAAAATCATTCCTAATCCGATTTTATTCTAATCCGTCGACATCGGTGGATCAAATTATCTAATCGAGATTTTCTTACGTCAAAAAGATGTCAATGTTTTGTCAGTATATTTGGAACTTTCTATTTGGGTTTCTTTTATTTGAATTTTAATAAAAATCGGAAATAGAATACCAGCTTTTCTTGAAGATGATAAAGATTCTTGACAAAATTACTAGAGAAGTGAATATTTTTATACGATGGGCAACTTTGTCATTTTTAAGAGGTTTCTTATATTCTAACGTTACAGCATAATTCTGTAGTTAGATGGCAAATCCAGATACATTGAAAAATATTAAAAAAAGTAAGCAATAGGTACATATATTTATCTGATTTTGTCCACTTTTAAATACTGATAATATGTCATATCTAGTTTTGAACATGCACAGTATAGGGAATAAAATATTCACATAGGTATATCGTTTTGCATAAAAAAGCTTGAAATACAGCAGGTACATATGTTAAAATTACCAAAAATTAACATAATGGTAATTGCCATCTTACTATAGAATTATTTTTATAAAATTATTTGACTTTTTTTTTCACCCTGCGTAGAATTCGGTATGCGTTTTACGGTGTGTTTACGGTTTTGGTACATTTAAAAAAATAGGGCTTCTATTTTCAACAGCCTCTTATCCTCTGACAAACATTTTTCCTACTCAAATCTGACGTTTTCTTCTTCTCTTTTTTGTGAAATTTATAAAATTCCAGTGTTGTCAGATTACTAAACTCGATTATCTAATCCGTAGCCGGTGCATAGAAAATATTCACTAGCCATTTAAACGAGATTTGCAAATCTGGATTAGATTTTAAAACGGTGCATATGGGCGTAAATAGACGATTATAAAACTTCAACCTAAAAACTTTTGAAATATAATTTTTTTATAAAAAACAAAACACAAGAAAACATACATTTGTAACAATACTCATTATTAAATGAGAATTCAGTTTTGACGGAAGATTAAAAAATTAATCAAAAATGATTTCTATAACAGAGAACTTACCCTTGCAATAGTACTCAAAATGGCTACCATCCAAGCGCCTCATGATCACCCCCATCCTCTGGGAACTACTAGAAAAGGGAAATTCCCTAATTATACCTATCTGGAGATCATCTGTGGCGTTCTGTTGAATGTTCGGGCGATTTTTAGGTGGTTTTAGGACGGTAGGAAAAATCATATTGAATTTACTATTGTCGTCGACTTCCGGTTCCTCCATTACCCACTTTGTACTTTCGAACATCTAAAAAAAGAGTTAATTTTTTATAGATATAATCAAAAAAAAAATGAAGTCATGTGTATATTTTTGAGTTTTACCTTCAAATCTAGCGGATCTCCAACTATCTGCTTCTCTATAATCGTAAGAGAATGACAGGACACTAAACCGTACAGCAAAATGTCATATGGTAGAGTTTCAACGTTCGTAACAGGCTGTTTAAAGTTTTTAGTTTCTATTGGAACCACGCACAGGAGATCCAGACCGTCTTCAGTAAGAGTTCCAGTCTAAAAATGTCAAATCAATCAATTATCCGTATTAAATGATTGTAAGGATAATAAAATTTAAAAATATAAATTGTAAATATTTACAGATGTCCATTATAAACGTCAATAGTGAATATTTTGTATAATGTTAGGCTTGTTCTGGTTTCTTCAAAATGTACTGCAAACCATCCGAGATCCAGTGGAACAGTTAAATATCAAATTATGGGCCGCAAACTTTTCAACTTTCCACTGGTCATCTAATACTCCGACAGTTTTCAACATATTTCTGAAGAACCACAACCGACCTTATATATACAAATGTCAATATAACGTCAGCTGTCACAATTTTACATAATATGTCAAAATAACGTCAGCCGTCAAGAATTTATTGAAACCACAAACGTTTTCAGTAGAGTTCCAATCTAAAAATGTCCAATAATCGTAAGGATAACAAAATGTAAAAAATGTACGACAATATTACTTCAACTGTCAATATTTTACACAATATGTCAATTATTAACGTCAGTAGTCAATATTTTATATATTATAAACGTCATTAGCCAATATTCTACATTATGTCAAATATAACCATCAAATACAAAGTAATTTGTCAAGAGTTTATTATGTCAAGCATAAACTTCAATATTACGTCTACTGTCATGATTGTACATAATATGTCAAATGTAGACGTCTAAATAATGCCAACTGTCAATAGTTTATTGGCCCCATGCACAGTATATCCCACTCAGTAAAAGTTACAGTCAAAACGTCAACTAATAAATATGGGAATATAATGTCAACTGTCAATATTTTACATAGTGGGCGAGTTCAAGATGACGCCCTATGGAGAGGACAGGGCATGAGCAGAGTCCTGCCAAGTCAGAGAGCGAATGTAGTAACATCAGTTAATGATTATGCAACACGTAATCAGCTCAAAAATGATCTGGAGATGCCTAGAACAATTGAATGAGCTAGGCGAGAAAAATAGTTACTCTCACTTGGGTCCCGGGGTACAAGGTAACAAGATTGCAGATAGTCTTGCAAGAAAAGGGGCTCAAACACCCTTTGTAGGACCTGAGCCGTTCTGCGGTATCAGCAGTAACATAATATTAGGAGAGATTAAAAAAGAATTGGGCAGAAGAAAAACCGATAATTGGAACAATCTCTTGGGGCTGAGACAGGCCAAGATATTTCTAGGTGAATGTAACCAGAAAATATTGGAAGCCTACATCTGCCTGAGCAAGAACAGGCTACGTATTGTAACAGGGATCCGTACCGGGCATTGCCGACTAAAAGGACACCTAAGTAAACTGAGAATAGCAGAGGATAGTGAGTGCAGATTCTGTGAGGAGGAGGACGAAACCTCCGTTCACATCCTGACACAACTGAATGTGTAGCACTCCAGAATCCAAGGGCACTATATCTAGGAGGATAACAAATAGAAGAGGGAGATTTACCTAACTTGAAGCCACTTCAAATCCTACACTTCCTTGAGAAAATAGGATTGGAAGGGTCGTTATAGGCATTGAGACATTTCCTTGGTGCATTGGCGACAGAAGGGGGCACAATAGATCTTTTAGGTCGCAGTGTATTAACACCCCATTCCCAACATAACATATGCATTACAATAGGATATCATAAAATAAACTTTCAGAATCTACTTATAATCTATGAGTTAAATAATTTTAAAATACAAATATTACCTAGCACAAACCCACAGAACAATAATATGTGCCATTCATTGACATAATTGACATTTCATTATTTAAGTTCCCGACAGATCTCGATCTTCTAACACAGAGTTAAAAGAGTCTATTCGGAGTCCATACTCAGTCATATCGAACGCGACAGATCACACTCCGAATCTCTAAAAAAACGCAAAAATGAACTCAGAGCAACCTGAGTTTCTACTCGAACTCACGGAGTATGAGAATTATAAGCGTCAATAATAGTCAATATTTTACATGTCCAATATAAACATTCATGTAACGACATTTGTCAAGTTTACATATGAGATCTTTTCCTTATCGAAAGTATAGCACTGAGCTACGCCACTTCTGAAAATATCGTTTCATCCATACGAGTACAATTCAGAAGAGACATAGCTCAGTGCTGCACTTTCGATGCAAAGGAAAAGATCTATGTAACATATAGAAGTCAAAATAAAAAGTTCAGTGTCAAGAGTCTATACAATGTCAAGTATAAATGTCAATAGCGAAGATTTTTCATGTCAAATGTAAACGTCATTAAATTGTCAATATAAAGTAAAATATCACATATAAACGTCAAAACAACAGCAACTGTAAAAATTTTATATCTATTTTCACTTGTAATTAAAACTGTTACCTTATCGAAGCAAACACAGTCCACGGATCCAGAAACGTTGATGCTTCTCGGCGATATACAAAAAATTTTGTTATTTTTCAATCTGATTTGCGCGTAGAACCGACCGACTGTCATGGCGGCCGGCAGAGCTGGAGGAACGGTGATGGTAACGAGATCTAAGGCTTCTATGATCAGTTCGCTGGCGCTCACTCCTTTGAGAGCCTAAAACGTTAATAATTCGACATATATACCACGAGGGTCTTATTTGAGCTTTCTACTTTCGAGAATGTATAATATACTTATTAAGGAATCAAAATATATATATATAAAATTTCGATACATACTTTTGTTACCACGGTGTACATGAAACCAAAACTCGCGATTATTCCTAAAAAGGCTACAAATTTGTACGAATCTTTCTCAAATCGAAAATCAACTGGTGGTGGATACAAGATGCTTCTCACTAAACTGCCTAAAAATGAAATAATTTTACAATTTATTACGTTTTGATTAAAAAAAAAAACGTACCTTTTGACGTCGAGAATCCCGTTCTAACGACAATGGCCAAAACCTTTTCGTTTCCAAAATATCTGGTCTGGATCACGTGAGTTCCGCAAAATAGGGTGTGCCTAGCGTGCTCCTTCGGATCATAAGGGGTATTTGGTATGTTTGGTAAAGCCGTTTTGGTTACTGGGACCGATTCGCCTAAAAGTAATAATTAAACTGTAGTCCATGTATGCTTCGATCCATAAATTTCAAAATCCCCAAGTGTGAAAACGAACTAGATAAAAATTTAAAAATTCAAGGCAGGTTTCAAACCTGCGGTCATACCTTGCCTTAACCTCTCAACCATAAAAAAACAAGCGTCGGCCGATCGAGAGATTAATTTGATATGACAAGGATTAGAATGATTGAAATGTGCGTTTTTCTGACTCACCTGTCAACATAGATTCATTTAAAATGCAATTTCCGTTTAGCAGTACCGCATCGCAATGCATTATACACCCGTGTGACGGTATTTCCATAATGTCACCGGGAACCAGAAGTTCAGTCGAGATAGTTTCGGATTTGTACTGATCATCTTGAATATCATCGTCCATATATTTTTTTGGTGTTCTTCTGAGTACGGTACAAACGTCGCTGCTGTGTATAGTCGATTTGAGATTTTTTTGATTCTGAAAAAAAGCGATGAGTTAAAAACATAAAATTTTTCTAAAAGTAAATTTTAAATTATTCAAATGGTTCTGTGATAAGCTTCAAATAATAATTTTTGGTTTTATCCAAACTAGGTCAATTTATAATAATGAACTTTGTCATATGTCAACTTAATAACGCCATTTCCAAAAAATAAAAAGCTCATTTTTAAACAATATATATTTTAAGTTTCGCTTATTTCTAACAACTAGCGATGCGATTGGCTATAAAGCTTCCATTTTAGAAATTAGAAGCGAGAATGTCTATTTCTTGATGATGAGTACTAATAACTACGAAACCAGTCCAAGAATGACGTTCTCCTTGTTAAGTAAAATCAAAGCATATATTGTTGAAAATAATTTTTTAGTTTATCTCTAGATTTAATCCAATAGCTGTCGAGGTATATAGCCAGAGAATGGGTTGTTTTCCGAAGGGACTTTCGAGTTTTTCTTCTTTATTTTTTTGTTTGGCTTCATTACAGATTAAATTAAATAAATTGACTTAATGGTGAATAACTCACCTTTCTGGTTTGAACAACGGACATTATCACACCGAACGTAGTCATAGCGATGATTGTAGCTGCGTAGTAATAATAATCATCGATGATCCAAAGGGTAAAACTCAAAATTTGAAAAATATAAAACGGATTCAGCACTTCCAAACACACCAAAGTAATCACTGATTGCTGCTTGATATCGATCAGGTTTGATCCGTATACCTTCAACCTGAAAAAATGGGAAATTTTATTTCTGTACCGCATACATTCAGCTTCACTACCTACAGTTTTATCAGAAATATAATTTTGTATTTTACCTCATGAATTGTTCACTAAAAGTCAACCCTTTATACTTGTGGAAAGTTTCACTGGGTACGTCTTTTTCTAAACCAGATAGTTTGATGAATTCTGGCTTTTCTTTGTCCCAAACGTAGGTTACTTTTTTACAGCTAAACATTATCAATCTGAAATAAAAACAAGCTCAACTGAATTGATAATAAATGAAAATATCCTTTTTTTAGCTGTGTCCAACCGTGTTCACGTCGTAAAAATCAAACTGTAAAATTTCCTACATTGTACATACAAAAATTAGTTCTTTCATAATTTCAAATATAATTCATACTATCACGCTACATTCGCTGTTACTCTATCAGTTTCTAAAGATCGTATCATGTCACTTCAACATTCACTTATTTTAAAAGTAACCTTGAAAGAAATTGAGCTCAAATATTGAAGATTTCAAATTATCTCGCTCAATGCTTAATATTATTTAAAAACAAAGATGGCGGCCACCAAAAAATTTTGACCAACCTACTTAACAATCGAACTTTTTTAACAAAACTATGAACAAATCAAGTCTTAAACAACATAAATGTAAAATACTTTTCGATGTTATAAAATGATGCACAATTGTATGTGTTAAATAAAGAAAACTTTAAAACAAAACTTTTTCACGATTTATTTAATAAACACTGAGAAGAAGACGAATAAGACGTTCAGGGACATCTACAAATATAAATTACACAGTCCATACATTTCTAGATAACAACTGACAGTAAGGAATCACGAAATATTTAGAAAACTAAATATTCTCTTCATGGTTCCAACCAAGCAAAAACAATTCTGCCTAAATTAATACATTAATAACTCCAACATAAGAACTGTAGTAAATTCAAATATGGGGAGGCAGTAATATCAAACAAAGCAGTAATTCAATCTATTGTTAGAGTCAGCGAATTAGGATATCGCCGCCACTGGGGTCGACGGTACCACGTCTGCCCGTTGCACTGTCCAGGACCAGGAGAGCGGGGACTTGACTTTCGACCAGCCGAACGATATGAAGTGATAGGCAATATGCCGTTAAAGACATTGCTTATTTTGTTCCTTAATTAATTACATTTCAAACATTGTTTACGAGATATTTAATAAAACATTATAAAACCATGTTAACACGTGATAAATCATTTTAAAACAATAATTTTGAAGTTAATTCTTTTAACTTCTAACACTATAATAAAAATAACTGTTGCATAAATGTCATTAAGAGAAAAAAACCGTGTCATACCTATCTAGATCTCTGAATATGCCGTTTTCGAAGTGCACAGATAAAGTGGAAGGAATGTCAGTTTCGGCAAATTGGTGGTGGTTCAGCAAACTGTCTTCGAGCTTCATTTTGGCCACACTTTCGGGGGTGAGGACTTGCAGAGGGCGTACATGGTAAATTTTATGTTTTTTATTAAATATTTCCTGAAAAAAAAAAACAAATCATAAACAGCTGTTAAATTATATCCACAACAAAAAAGATTCATCTGCAGACAAAGATATGGGCTTAGTATGCATAAATGCATTTCTCATATACACCGATGCTGTAGCGAGGTATTTGAAGATTTGAGAACGACCATGAACGACATCTGGCCCGATCTAGCACATCAAACTTCTGTATATAAATCTCGACAGTAGAACTGGCAATTGTCTAGCATACAAGGATGTCTGGGTTTAATTCTCGGCTACGACAGGGTTTTTTACAAATCTCCAAATATTTGTTTTCACCTTTAGGGTCCGGGGATGGTCTTAATAATTCGTAAGGATTTTTGAGATTTGTTTCCGAATTTTAGAATTTTCGGATTTCGATTTGCGATCTAAAATATATTAAATTTACAATTTTCAAAAAAGATTCAGATACACAACAGATTTTTTAAACTTTCTGATTGGATGTCGTTATGTACGTAGTCGTTTAGTCAATGAAAGAAAAACAAAAAATTAACAAAAAATAAATGGGTACCTAGTTCGTTGATTATTATGACATCACCCTAGAAAGAAATTAGACCCATTAAAAATTGTATATTCATTAGTGTATTTTCGCTTCTCAATGCCATAACCTCTGTTCGTTCGCTCGCTCCTCAGATAAACATACTCGCACAAACCATTCCCACTCAAATTAGCAGCTGTCTCCATCTTTCTAATACGGCAGCCGATAAGACAGCCCAATCTGCGTAATAATAAGCACAATTTGAATGGTTGCAATAAAAAAGGGCTTAATTAAGAATGAATGGATCAGTCTAGTAGTTTTTAGTCGTTGGTATTATATCACCTATTTTATAAACGATAGTCACCTAGCTGAATAGTGGACTGCTCTTTCCGATGTATGCTTATAAAAATTAATAAGGTCAAAAAAAAATACCGTGGGAACTACAGGTAGCCAGGCAAATGGTGACATGATCTTAGTTTTTTTATTAATTATCTCACTTACTACTTATGATATAATTGGGTCATTCTCAAAAAAAGAGGAAAAATTACTTCTGACCACATCTTTTAAATATTTTGCTAAATTAAGTAACCAATTTCTGGCCAAAGGATTCATTTTAATTGCTCTTTTTGTACCAATAATACATTTTGAAAAAAAAAACACATTTAAAAAATATATATATAAAATTTCGAAAAAAAAAACATTACCATGTCATGTCATATTACAATTTCACAAGAAGAACTGAATTTTTTCCATGAAAACAAATTGTTTTTGAACAATACAATTAAAACTTCAAATAAGCATCAAATGATTATCATCTCTTAACTTATTTAGTTGATATGCATGGTTGGTTTACTATCATACTTTAATATAAAGTATGTAACCAAAAATTTTGCTCATTACCATGTCACTTCCTAATTTAAAACAACCGGCATCATTGTAAAGAATTTTAGAGTCGTTTTATCCACCAATCGATTCTCCTTAAACAATATTTTACCACCCCACCCAGAATTATCAAGTCAGTGTTAATATAGCTACACAGCAAGTCGGATTACGTGCATTTCGTCTGGCTGTAACTCGATTCAGGACATTACCGTGTGTGTTAAAAATTTCGTTTCGTGTTTTTTTTTAAACTTTAAAGTGTCAATTAGTGTAGTGTTATAACACGATAAGGTAAGGATAAATAATTACTTTATTTGCTTTTAATAATCTAAGGTTATGTAAATGTTTTGCTCATTACCGTGTCAAAAATGCCTGACATTACCATGCCTGTTTATTATCACGGTAATGTCTGTACGACACGGTATTGTTAAATAATTAATGGATACATGGGGTGGATGTATAACTCTGTATCTTAGTATCAAAAGGTCCGATGCCCATTTAGCAACTTTATAGGTGAGCAAAAAACTGATTGTGTTCATTATTTGATTCCAAACCTAGGTGGACAACCGTGCATTTACATAAGTCATTACCGTGTTATTAATAAACTGAGGACTACCGATCTTATACCAAACAATGTAATACTTAACGGCAAATACATCAGCCCAAATAACTTATTTTGAGAAAAAATGGACATCAGACCTTTTGATACTAAAGTACATAACTGTTTCGAAACGACCTTGCAAGTAAATATAGCCGTGAATCTAACTTGATAGAAAATTTCGGTACAACAAAACTCTTTTTTTTTAATTTATTAATTTTTATACAATGTAATTTACTTACAACTTATTTTTAGATGCCAGATTTGAGAGTAAAAAAGCAGAAGGCTAAATTAGGTAAGAAGAATAAGGATAAAATTTTACAAATAAAAAGGGAAAGAGAAAGATTTAGAAGGCAGAAAATTAAAAATAACCCAGAAGAATATGCAAACGAAAACAAAAAAGAACGTGAGCGCTATCGAAAAAGAAAGTGTGAAGGAAAAATCAAGCTCATAGGCGAAATGAGTGAGAGAGAAAAGCGGAACAAGAGAAAATCTTGGATAAAGAATAATAGAACATACCGGGAAAAAAAAAAGAAATAAATCAGCTCCAACATAATATTATGTGTGACACGCCCACCCCAACAGAAATTAGTTTTAATGAAGAGCAGATCGCAGACATTGATGTCAGACAAAACGAAGAAAAGTTGCGGAAACTAATAACGCGTCTCAAAGTACGGGCATACCGTGAATCATGTCACCAAAAAAAAAAATTATTGAAAGTCTCAAAAGGCAAAATAGAGAGCTGAGGTCAAATGCATTAAAACAAAAAATTATGCTCCATAATAAAAGGACTAGGACAGATGAATGTACTTTGCCAGATTTGAGTCCCAACACAAAGGTAAAATTATTTAAGTTCTTGCATAAGTATCTTGTCATAAATAGGTAACACTTTTTAGGTTAACGAAATCCTTCAAAAAGCTGGTGTCGTAGTACCCGATTCTATCAGAAAAGAGTTGTTGTTTGGTGAATCTGTGAAGAAGCAGCTTGCCAAAAACTTTACGTCATTAAAAGATCATGATTTCAAACAAATGTTTGCGAAAGTAGTGAGAGGGGATCTTTTAAAAAAATATAGAGTAACAAGTAAACTAAGTATGTCAAAATATTTCAGTACATCTAATACCCAAAGCAACCGAAAGAAATCAGCAGGCAGAAAATCATGATATTCCAACTTACGACGCATTTTTTAAAGTTATTAAGAAAAATGTATTGAATATTCGTATTGATACTGTAGATGAATCAGATATTCTCAAAGTAGAAAATAAAATTATAGAGAATCTGGATACTTTTAAAGGTACCATGCAAGTCCACAATGTAACTTGGTGCAGAGAGTATAACGTTTTATATTTTAACAGTTTAACATGTATCTCATGCAATATTGGCGAATCATGTAGCCACTTTAATCTTGGGCATATAAAAATGCACAATTCGTCGACTTCTCCAACTTCTGGTCCAGATATCGGTATAGAAACCTAAAGTTCTAAAAGTACAGTTATGCCCACAGACAAATATATCGACATGACTGGTCAGTCTCTCCTGAAAACAGTTCAGAATCGGATGTTAAACCGAATGACTGGGTAGCAGTTTTCTTCTCAGACTTTTGGTATCCAGGTAAAATAGTTTGTCCTTGTATTTTATAATATGGGTATTCTAATTTGTACCGATTTTTAGGTTTAGTTTTGTCACAAACTGGCAAATCTGAAAATTGATTTCATGGACAGAAGAGGAGAAGTTTTTTTTTGGCCGGAAAAAAGAGACATCCAGACAATTCGTGCAGCAGAAATTTTATATAAACTATCCAAGCCACCGGTTCCAAGTTCTGCTGGGCTCTTTTCTGTTCCGAAATACAAATATAGAGGATATGACTTAATTTCATTACTCAGTTTTTATTTAAAAATATTTGAAAAATAATACTTTTTTATCTATTTTTAAGAGTTTCTCGTTCGAAGTTTTTAACGTTATTTTTTTTTTCATGGTTTAAAATATTTTTTTTTCTATGTGAACTACGTTTAATCTTCATGTTTTTAATAAAGAAAGAGTGTTTTTTGAATATTTTTTGTTTATTTTCACTCCCAAACATTACCATGAAAGTAAATTAAACATTTCCATGTCTTTTGACATTACCGTGACAGCCAAATTTCATTACCATGTCATTTTTTTGTAATTTTTCCGAAAAAACTAAAAATATGGGGGGGTACATATTACAGATTTTACTAACCTAAAATATTATATAAGCCTACGCAATAATATTTTTGGATACATGAGTATTTAGATGTGACGCAAAATATCATGGAATTTTCCTTATTTCTAAAGAATGACCCAATTATGATTGGAAAATCATCAGAATCCTTAAATTTTTGCCTAATAATAATAATCGAGAATACATTTTTGTACAGTTTTTATGATATAATCCTATACAATTTTAAATCTATAAACACTTTTTTTAGTATATTAATCCGAGAAAACTATAAATTTGTATAATTTTATACCATTTTTACGACAATCTTGAAAATTTAAAAATATATTTTGTCTGACTACAAAAAAAAAATAGATTTTTTGACATAATTTTAATGGAAATTTTTACCTTTAAATATATAAATTAATTTTTATACAATATCTTACCCGATTTTGGGACATTCAAAAATGGAAATTAAAAACTACAATTTCCCCTACTCAAACAATTTTTTCTATAAAATGCCAACAGAATGATAGAAACTACTATTTTGTAAAAATCCATAGTTTTTAACTATTAAAATAAAAGTAAAAAATAATTATTTAAAAGTTTTTGCGTTTTTCTCGAAATTTACAGAACAAATTAATATTCCAACCTCTATTTAGAAAACTTCTGGAAGATGTCAAAAATTAATTTATGAATCAATATTTTGTGTATTGTGGCTTCGATAATTTATTTTTCTATTTTATTTTACGTCTTGGTCACTTTACAATCTATCAATTAATATTGAATTTAACCTAAATCTTCCATTATTACAAATTAATTGAAATCCCCAATCTCAAATAATTTTTATAGAAAATGTATAGAAAATCATCATATCAGTAGTTTTCAACACAGCGAAAATGGTGCAGGTAAAATATAAAACATTTTTTCTTCTAATAAATAAAATTCACCGACCGACCGTGTACATTTCGATAATCGTTTATGCCTATACCCGCTATACCTTATCTGAAATGCCGACGTGAGCGTAGTACAATGCCGACGTGAATTATAAATTATTTCATTAAAAATCCTCGGTTTATCTTTCTCTAAACTTTGAAGGTCTTACGGCCGACTAAATGTTGGTCTTAAATGTGTTATAATCAATTGTAAACATTAAATAAATAGTTTCTTTTATTTTTCTGCAAAAGGCGTCTTATTTCAAAATGCAGTTACAAGAATATAATTCACTTTTATAATGAACGACACAAATTTCCTTTGCATTTGAGAATTTCCCGAAGAATTACGTCCCCACTTACCGGTTCATTAAACATTCAAGAAGTGAAACGAAAAAAATTAATTACTCGTAACGAATTTCCCCGTTTTCCGCACTTACCGTGATTAAAATTTTCTCGGCTTCCTCGATTTTGCACTTGTTGCAAGTGGCCAGCAAATACAAGTGCGGAATCCAATGGAACAGCAATCTCAGTATGCCCGCAGTCAGGAAGAAAAACAAATAAGTCACCAGCGTCTTGATTTTGCATTTCTTGTAGCAGACGAACTGCATCTCGTCCTCCTCGCCCTTGTTGAGGTACATAGTGAATTCATCTGATTTCCGGCCTGCAAAAAAAACGAGAGAACGTTAATAAATAATAGTTATTTTCTACACCCACATGGATACTAGCTTATCTACACACAGACTACAAAACTAAAAACTATGCCATTGCGTTCAATTGAACGAATATATTTCATATCCATTCTACCTAGTGAGAACACTGCAAAAAAATGGAATCCACTAATCACAGTTCATATTTTGGAAACACTACGTTCCGGTAAAGTAATTATTGGAAAATTTATTGGATTATTTATTTAAAAATAAGTATATAAGTATAATAAATTGGTATAGTCGTTATTATTTAATAAAAACAAATTACTATATTTTTAGAGCTACAAAAACATGAAATAATGTGTGATACTTTTAGCTGTACAGTAAATACATAAAAAAAACATTTTATTTATATAAAAGTTACTTAAATGGATATTAAATTTATTCTTTAAATACAACCTTAAAATTTGTATCAAGAATTATTATCTTAATCCGTATAGAGTTAATTTTATACAGGGTGTCCCGAAAATATTGCTCATAAATTATACCAAAAATAGGTCAATTGGACCTTACTTACCTTTGTACAAAAGTGCAATTTAATTTAAAAATTTAAATTAATTTTTTTAACGGTTCCTCATTAATTTATGAAAATTAAAATAGGACACTAGTATACAATTGGCGCGTTTGAATATCCACATCGGATGCATCTCAGATGTGAATTTTTTATCACGTGATAGAGAATTAGATCTGAATGTAGATGTAATAAACAAACGCTCTATACTTTATTGATCACGTTATAAAATTCATTGTCATTTATAGCTATAGACATTACAAGTGGTACGTGCCTCTCAAAAACTTGACTTATTTTCTTAACATTTTCATTAAGCTCATTCAACGGTAAGTACCCACCTAGAAGAAATATTAAACCCTCTACCAATTTCGGCGGGCAATGTTTTCTCTCCAACTGTGTGAGTGGGCATACGCGTAACTTATTTTTAAAAAGTGGACGCTTGTATCAAAGCAAGATAAAAATGATACCTTTTCACTGAACTAATGTCCAATAAAAATATTAGGTCGATTTTCGGGTCCAACGAAAATAATGAATTTAAAAAAATATGATTTAAACATAAAAACGCAATAACTTGATAAATTTTCTGCCAAAATAAATGTAAATAATTAATCGGGGATTTTTAAAGTAGCTGAAAACAAATTTTTAATATTTACCGATTTTTAAATATTCATAATTATGCAATATTCAATGTGCTGGTCTAGAAATGCTAAATTTGGCCACCTTGTATTAAAATGCTAAAGCCATCTGCTATCTGTTTAATGTTTTCTTTCTACACCCACATGGATATTAGCTATTCTACACACATCCTACAAAACGAATATATTTGATATCCATTCTACCTAGTAAGAACACTGCATGGATATGAAATCTACCAATCACGGTTCATATTTGGTCACCAGGCTACTATTATTTTATTAAATTTTAAATAAGTGACAATTCTGTAAAACTAATTGTGAGTACCTATATTTTTTAATTATTTAGATTAAATACGAGTTTAATTAAAAATGGATGATTCAAAACTGAAAAGTAAAAAATTAAATCCACCAATTACAGTTCATATTTTGGTCACCCAACTACTATTATTTAAAAAAATTAATTGTCACTATATTTTTTAGTTATTGAGATTAAATATATACATTAAAATGAGTAATTATTTGTAGAATCGATAGTAGCATTTTTATTATTGTCTAGTTCACATTTTGAAATAAATTTAAAATTTTAATCAAACTATATGAAACTAATTTAATTACGAGTATTAAAACTAAAATCTTAAATCTGGCGGTGGAGGTGAGGAGACAGTGTTGGTGTTCCACATTCGAATCTCGGCAGGAAACTAATAAAATTAAGTATTTTTTTTTTCATATATTTTATTTTATAAATTAGTAAAAGTCATAAATTAATTTAAAATTAGTTATTTTGTCTTAATAACCCAAAATAATTTTTAAAATTTGTAGATTTTCGTTAGTGGGTCGTAGAAAAAAAAACTGTACAACTCGAGTGGATTGTCCGTATCGCACTACGTCTTCGTGCCGTCATATCCACTCTTGTTGCGCAAACTACTATTTCTGGTTGCAACTATTATTGTAGTTAAAGGTGATTTATAGAAAAGTACATAATTTATTTTGAAGTGTGGCAATGGTGTAAAGCAGGAATCAGTGTTGTACGAGCTGGTTTATTCATAAAACAATCCCCACACAATTTAGTAGGCGTCTGGCTCTTTCTGTCTGTCTAACATAAATAGAGCTCAATAGTTGGAAGTAAATAAGAGCTTAATTATGAATGAATGGATTAGTCTGGTAGTTGTTTATCGTTGGTAAGTAGTCATTTGTTGTTTCTTCTTTTTTAAACTATATTTTGCCTTTGTCTCCAATAAATTCAGCCAAATTAATTTATTTTATTTCGCACGCGTGCTCACAACACTTCCACGTTGAAAAAGTTTGTTTTTCAGACATGTTCGTCGGAATTTATAAAACATTCCTAATTCACTCTAAAATTGGATTGTACAAAACACTCCCTTTAAAACTTTCCCTCGCAAATACCTTACTCTGAGGCAGTTTTTTTTTAATTTGGTGTCATCGGCATAAACTATCAATGTTATTAGCTTCGCGTTATGAGTAGTCTTTGTTACTGTTTATATAGCGCCACTTTTCAGGAACATCACTTTTAGAACCCAATAGTGAATAGTTGAATGGAGAATCATACATAATATGTATGCATATTATGCATTAAAAATAAATTTTAATTTGTTAAATTAAATAAAAATCCCTGCCACCGACGGAATTCGAACCTGAGACCCTTCGATCTCAAAGTCATGACTCTAACCACTGAGCCAACCCACCCTCTATAATTCGCAAGGCTGTGCTGAAGAGCCCACGTACCACGTAAAAAAGAAGATGTAGTAATAAAATACAAGAAAATGTATTGGCTGATCAAAAGACATTCTGACTTATCAAATTCCAATAGATTACTCCTGTACTCAAACTAGTGTGGTTATGTAGCACTCAGTTGTGGGGATTTACCAGCAAGAGTACCAATGAAATAGTTAATACTTCTTGGTACTTTAGAAACCGTGACCTTCACAAAGAATTTTGCTTGGAGTCAAGAACAACGACTCCACATTCATGTTAATATCGGGTCCATCCAGCTCCTCGATAACACGAAAGATGATACAAAACGGTAAATCCCTTAGAATTAGTGAAATAGGGTTCGTGTAAAGCAGAGAATAGACTGCAGCAGATTCTGGCGTTAATCTCCATGTAAATAAGTTATTAGAGTGTAGAAATTAGAGTATAATAATGGAGTTCAGTAAGACCTTAGTTTTTGAAATTTTGAAATTTTAAAATTAGTAAATTACTCATTATCTGTGATCAGACTGTTATTATACTGAGATGCTCCCAACGAGTATTATCAGTATATCTCTTTCTCTTAACGAAAGCACAATAGTCTCTCTGTGAAATAATGAACACCACCCTATATAAGATATTTCTGAGGGTATTTATTTATTTCCAGCTGCTACTGCTAGCAGTGGTAATGTTAGACGATTATTTTTATTCTATTCTGTTAGACCCTTACAGTATGGTAAAATATTTCGTTTCGATACAAAGGACAAATAAATCTCTTAATAGCGTATGTTGAACCTTTTGTTGATCGTTTCCCAGCTTTATATACAGAGTGGTCCAGTCATGATTTTACCATCCAATAGTTTAACGAAAAATAAAAGTGTTTTCATGGTAATGGATAGGAACATTTTAAAATTTCCCCAAACATCTAATGTTATAAACTTCTGGACAAAATTAACGCACCACTTATATTTTGCTCGATAATCTTTATTTATTGATAACTTACTGTACGACAAGTAGGCCATGGACCTTGTTTGACAGTAACAGTTGTTTTTTTAGCTAGCTAGTGTCACGTAATACCTTGTTTTAACAGTAATTCGTATTAAACCTCGTTTTAGACTAAAACTGTGTTAACATTTTCTTAAAAAGTGCTGATTAAAGAAAAGTTTCTGTTAGAAGCAAGCTGTTGATTGTAATTCTGTGGTCGACGCTTAAAAAGTAATAAGTCGATATTACACATTTTTGGAGAATAGCGCTGGAAAATTTTGGAACATATCAATAAGAATTTTTAGAATCCAAATCGACGATCTTTATAGGAGATTTGGTCATATTTTGTTTTAACTGTTTTATGTTACAAAATTTTACTGTTATTGTTTAATTATGACGTTTTGTCTTTCGCGGTTGCCCTTGTATTATTATATATGTTTTTTTGTACCTTATTATTACTTTACAACGTATATAGACTTAGATCCTTTTAACTGCCTAAAATACACACTCTTTTAAACGTATATAGACTAAAAACTCCATTTACGTAAAAAACGGCCACAGAATTGTTTTTATTACATGCAGGTTTGGAAGTTCATTTGGGAGAATATCAAGTAAAAAAAAAAAATGAACCGTCAAAGAAATCTGTCACTGGAGGAGGCAGTGCGAGCATCGACTCTCTTGAATGAAGGATATTCAATGCGATATGTTGCTGGTTTGTTAGGAATACATCATTCCAGCATCAGTGAGGAGACATAACGCATAGTGAGGCGACATAATGAAACGGGTTCGTATCATCGAAGACCAGGACAAGGGCGAAAACGTTGAACTAATCAAATTGATGATCGTTTTTTGAGACAACGTGCTCTTAGAGACAGGAGAGTAACCAGCAATCTGCTCAAAAATGAATTAGCAGATGTTCGAAATATCGCGATATCGTCTCGAACGGTTAGAAGACGTTTACATGAAGCAGGATTAAGCAACAGAAGACCAGCCAAAAAACCCTTGCTTACCAGAGAACACAAAGTTCAGAGATTAAATTTTGCAAGACTACATCAGAATTGGACCATCAACGATTGGAAATGGGTTCTGTTCTCCGATGAAACTAGAGTTAGCCTTAAAGCTCCAGATGGACGTAAGCGTGTCTGGCGAAGACAAGGAGAAAGGTTTGCCAGCTGTAATATCTCTCCTAAAGTGCCTTTTGGCCGTGGCTTTAAAATGTTTTGGGGAGGAATTTGCTCTGATGCTCGTACGGAGTTGGTCCCTATACGTACGAGGTCTATGAATGCCCAATTTTACTTAGACAACATTACTGTCGAACATGTAATGCCTTTTGCTCCGTTTGTAGGGCCCAATTTTTTATTCATGCAGGACAACGCTCGTCCCCACGTGGCTAGACAGATTATTGGTTACTTACATGATGTTAATATTCCTTTATTAGAGTGGCCACCTAACAGTCAGGATATGAATCGTATAGAATCCCTATATGATTCCCATAGAACATCTATGGGACTATCTCAAAAAGAGGATTTGAAGTCATAGACCCCCTGTTTCTAATCACAACCAACTCATAGAGGTCGCTATTGAAGAATGGGAGAATATATCGCAAGCCCAATTTATTATCAATGTTACACAAGTCTTACAACATGATTTAACTTGATCCCTTACTTTAAATCGGAAATAAAGATGGTAAGATATTCGTACAAGTTGAGTGAAATTACATTTATGCGATTTAAAAGTTAGTTTCTCTCAAGTAGAACAAATACTGTTGATATTATTTACACCCTGTCTAGAAATTTTTAATTTACACTCAAACCCAGTACAGTAATAAACATAAATGAAATATCGCAGCCCTCTTCGAAAGTAACGAATCTTTTGAGTGAATACCATGAATGAGATTAGTGAAAAACCCTCAAAAGTAACACAGGCACCATCTAGACGAGTCTTTGCTAAGTCAAGTTGTTTACTAATCACATTCACTCTATTAACTCAAAAGATGTGAATTTTGAGCTGTGTCGCTTTTGAATACTTAAGTAACAACATTGAAAAAAGTGGTGCAATATTCATATTATGTTGCATATGTACTGTGGGTGATAAGCAAATTCTATTTTTAGATTCATTTTTAGGGTGCCGAAATACATCAGAAACACGTAAAAATATGAATGTCACAAAATGTGTAGTGAAATAATTCTTTACCATGTTTTGCAAGGTCGTATGTGCTTTGCATCACCGTATGATTATACTAATACATTTTAATCGTATATATGGTTTATAATGGATTTTAGGACATGCACAAACTTTTATCAATAGAATTTTCTAATAAATCGAACGATAAAAACTTTTTCCATATGGTACAGACTTTGGCAACTAGTTTCGACCAATACCAATGTCTTAAAAATAAAAAATAGATAGCGACAGATAACATCGAAAACATACCTAGAAGAAACTGGGCACGATAAAATAAATCCAAAAGATCACTCATTTTTTCGAACGAAAACTTCACTTATCTACAAATAACACCGAGAAAAAGAATGCACTTCGGCAACCTACAACCTCGTCCAAAACTAACTAATCACTAAATTATTATGTATTATTAATAACTAAATATCTATTTAATTTTGTAGCTGTTTATTATTCGGACGTTATCAATTCGCTTGATCTCTTGCCTAACCAAAATTAATATTTAAAGTAATGTAAAATGTATATAAGCATGAACGAAAATTGCGATGTTGGTTTTCAAAATTTATTACTACAAACAAGAACAGTAATTATTATTATCGCGTTACGAGTTTTAGGTGAGTGTTAGAGTGATTCCGATATTTAAAAGACTGTTGGGATTGGTTTTACGAAGAACGTGAATTTAAAACAAGGTAAGTACTCAAATGTTCAATATATACAGCGTGTTCATTAAGTATGTGTCCAAGCTTTAACGTTCTATTCAATATTAAGATAAAAAGTTCTCTTATTTCCAATCGCAGAATACCATTTACATTTACAGACATTACTTCAGAGTACCTTAAGGGTCCCATTTAAGACCTCTGTTGTTCAATTAATAATATCGTTAAAAACATCAACCTTACAAGTATTTTATGTGCTGACGATCTACTAGCTGTTTATGCAACCAGTTAAGAAATGCCTTATTTTATGTAACGAGTGAATATTTATATTTATATTAACGAATTACACAAAACGGTATTTCGTAACGTATTATATACAAGATTAAAAATTGTGTCTGGTAAAAAAGGACTAACTATTAATGTTTTGTACTTCCAACCAAAAATGTAATCAAAAGAATATTTGGAAAATTGTAGAGCAAAAATGTGGCATTTTGTATCATTTGATTTGTTTGAATAAACACAAGTAGTTATTTCAAATATTTAATAGTTATTTATGCAACAAGTGCAAAAAGTAAGTGTTTATTGCACGCGACGTGAACTCGGCCTGACGGTCTCCTTGGACAACACGTCGAGTGCAATAAACACTTTTTGCACGAGTTGCATACAATATTTTTTTTTCTACGTTCATGCAAAAACCAAAAAATGTTTTATAGGACTGCAGTTGTAAAATCATAGTAGCCGTGATCGTGTACCTTTGTTTGAGGCATTTATTTACGTTTGTGTTCATAATTTGTAATGACATTTTTAATAAAATACATTTTTTTAATAATTTATTTATTAAATGATTGAAAATAATATAAAATATGCAATTGTTTTTAAAACGTAACACAGAAAATGAAAATGGACTAAATATTTGGTGTTGATTTGAATATTTATGTTTGTCATGATCATAAAACGCTGTAGTAAAATGACAGATGAGTGCAATAAAATTTTTATTACGCTAGTGTAATAAAGACCCAGTTTTTTCACTAAAGATAATTCAATAAAGTTTTATTTTTTGCATGAACGTAGAAAAAAAAAATGTATCAATTATGTATAGTTTCGCTCACTTAAAGAATTACAATTATTGTATATCTATGCAACCAATATTACGTTTGTATTGTTAACTTACAAATTCACGAGGCATATTTAAATTTAGATCGAACAAAAGAAAAATCTAAAGATTCAAAGCCTTGTTCAGAGTGGGAGCGGCGCTCGTCGCGATGCGATAGCGTTACGTCGAGCGACGCGATTAATATTTCAGAGCATCGCATGACTAGTCGCTTTCACTCTGAACGTTTGCGTTTGATAACGCTAGATTGTTTTACAGACGACGCGTCGCTAAACGCAACTCTATCGCGTCGTGCGACGCTCCTAGTCGAAACAAGGCTTAAGAGTATCTGTAATTTTGAAATCGCGGCCCAATCACACTATGAATCCGTATATATGGTTTGCCGCTGTTGAAATGTTATATATGTGATCTTTCAACGACAATACTGGGCTTACTGGGTCAAATGTAATCCCTAAATCCATAAAAAATTTGGGGCTAGGAAGCGACTATCCAATATGGACATAACTGAATATAATTGGATGATATTACGTTACATTTTGTTGGATTCGCAATTAAGCTATTTTTGTTGCACCATTCAACGACTTTATTCAGATTTTCTGACAGTGGCTCAGTCAGAAATATTTAGGTCATCAGCAAAGCAAATAATCAACTTTTGTAGTATCACCAATGTCGCTGATAAAAATATTATATAACAGCGGACTCAAGTTTGAACCTTGCCATATACCAGAGGTGGTGTAATATTTGCTAGACTTAAATCCATTTAATTGAATGACTGTATTCTTTGAGAGAGATGCGATCAAATAAGTAGGAAGAAAATTAAGGATTTGTTATTTCAAAAAGTATTTGACAATATTGTTGTATATATGTACTATTCGATGAAGTAGATAGTGCAGTTACAAAATTATGAAGCGCATGACATTCCATATGGTCCTGATCTAGCGCCCAATCACTACTCAGTGACCTTCACTTGATAAAGCTTATAGGCGCTCAGAGCTACGAAGATGATGTTGATGATGACTTCAAAACGGCCGTGTTGCAGGGGCTGGCAAATCAAGCGGCAATTTCTATGAGGACGGACGGTTGTACGATATGATGAGTGCCTTAATATTGGCGCTAATTATGTTGAAAAATAAACTAAAATAAAAGTTTAGGTTTACAATTATAATAAAAAACGTTATTTGTATCAAAACGGTACTATTTTTAAAAAACACGGCCTCGTACCTACGTTAACGTATTTCGTAAACGTATCCATTTCGTATATTATGTAAAATTATCGCGGTATTTAACGTTAATGTATAAATAATTTTTTTTTTTTTTTTAGACGTGGAGTAATTTAGATAAGTTTGGTTCAAAGACTACATAGCCGAGTCGAACAAACAAGGTTATTATGAGAGCAGGAATGATTTGGATCGCATTTGTAGAGCCGGAAAATGAGAAATAATAGGCCGATAGGTGTCAGGTAAAATATAATCCAATTCTAATTTATGTCGCTTCTCAGACTAGTACCTATACAAGTTAATAAAATGACAACAGGGCAACAGCCACTCGTCGCGATAGACTAGAATTAGCAGTTGCGCACAAACGTTTCTGATTATTTATCAGTGACAAGTCGTGTACTTGTCGGCGATAGGCTCCACGAACAAAGTAACATGTAAAAGCTCCTCTACAAGCCATAAGAAGCACGGATGGAAAAAATAAAGAATTAAAAAGGGTTTTCAAGGGTTTTAGTTTATATATCAAAAATTATTATTAATAAAATTAAACAAAAAATACAAGCAAAATTTGAAAAAAATAATTTTATTATATTAAAAGTCAAATTCTATAAACAAAAAAAAAAAAGTGAAAAATAAATAAATGTTTTTTTTGTGACTGTCACTTTTGATGAAATTACTTTTTCGCCGTTTCCCGGGAAAAAAGTGAGTACTTTTTCCCGGATATATATATACACACATAAGTAAAGGTAGATATTTTAGAATATTTTTTTTAATATTAAATTGTAATTTTTTCCGTCACAGAAAAAAACAGTTTATTAGGTATACCTAAACGGGAAAATTAATAGATTTTAGCTCTCGGTTTTTTGTCTCCCTCCGCTTGGCGTCGGAAGACAACATAAACTCGAGTTAAAATCTAATACTTTTTCCCTTGTAAATAAATAACTATTTTTTAATTATCCCCATTACTTATATAAATATTAAGTTCCAGTGGTAACCTTTGATACAATATTGGCATTTGTATTTAGATACACTAATATTTGCACCGTTTCTGCTGAATATTGATTAGTAATATTGTAAATATTTATCTTAAAACTAAAATTGTAGAATTTTAGCTTTTAGGTTCTTTAAAAAACCTACAAAAAACTTAGGCCTATAAGTCTGTAATAAGCATTCAGTATAATATAACGAAATTAGTATCAGATTTATCTATATCAGCAATTAGAGTAGGAGTCATGATAATGAAAATTTTATAACCTGCTTTAGAAGTGATACTAATAGCCTATTGTTATGTGAGCCATTTCATTATTCAGTCATGCTCTAATCATCCAAGTCCCTCTCTGTCTTATTTGGCCTTTGAGGCTCAACTTGTCCGATTATTATACATAATTAAACCCCTTTAGACCAAACATATGGGACGACTATGGCGGAGGTGCTTTCGATTAATGTTCGAGAAAGAACGGGATAATGTTTCTAGAGTATTTGGTGAATATTCTGGCACATTCGCCAATATTTTAAATTTGTATATAAATACTGATGGAGGATGAACAAAATTAGTTTTTATATGGACAGTGAAGATAAATCGTGAACAGTTTAAAGACATTCGAAATATATATAAATTAGAATAATAGTGTTACAAAATAAATAAGTGTTTAAATAAATTATTGATAAATAAACTGTTGTTTAAAATAAACAAACATCACACTATTTTAGCAGTAGACCGTGATTAATATACAACGTATACAGGGTCCTGCAATAGCGATCCGGTTTAAAGATTTAAAAAAAAAAATGGGTACAAAGGGGGCTATTATATTATATGTATTTATTTAACATCACACAAACCAAGTACAGAGATTCACGGAGATCGGAGATGAATTAAAGATGTTTTATAGTGAACATTGAGCAAAAAAATATGGTTAGGTAATCTATACGAGATACAAAGAAACTTCTTAAATATTTTTTGAACGATTTTGTTATTTTACAAAGTACATATTCCCTTTTAGAGTCAATCTAATTTAACAACAAAGACATTCGGTATGCTTCACGCGTAATTTAATGGATGCACTTTTTTAGGAAGTTCCCGTATAAAACAGCGATTGTCCTAAAAGCCTTTGAAAATTTCTCCATACTTTCGCGACATTTGTTCTTTGAAAATACGCGATAAGTAGGTAAATATTGCCGTATAAAAATATTTGCGACAGACATTTTTCGTTAACTATTTTTTTATAGGTCATATAAGAGAAAAACTACTAAATCATCTCGCTGGAGAAGTGAGCTAAACTTTTAGTAAACCTAATTGATATAAAATGCTACAAACCTTGTTTTAATTTCGACAAAATAAACACAATACTACACCCAATTTGTTCGCGATAAAATAAGAAAGTGTTTCAAAAATGTGTTTGAAATTATCAGGTCTGTAGAAAATTATTATTTCTCACTAAATTTCTAGGATTAGAATGTATGATTATGAATCTTATTTACATAAGTGAAAAACACGAAAATCTAATTTACATTACAAATTAAATAAATTAATTATTTACTCACACAGGGAGATTTTAAGAAAAAATGCTAGTCAAGGCAAACATTCGAAAATTAGTATACAAGGTGACTACTTTTTAATTGAAATATTTGCGCATTAACTAAAGTAAATCTTTAGTGTCTTAATTGAAAAATACATTTTTGCAATCAATTATAATTATGTTATCTGTATGGAAAGGAACAACGAAACGGTGTTGTTATGTAAAAGTGACACACGGTATATTCATTCAAAGGCAACACATATTATTTTATAAATTTTCCAAAGCCTTGGCTGCAATATCGTAAAAAATTATCAGGCAAAATCCATATTAAAACATGTTCAAAATATGCATTAGGTGTAAAAAAATGTGGTCGAAGTGACAACGGTTTTCGATGGATTAATGATGTACACTAAAGATAGTTATATTTGTTCACTACATTTTCACGGAAAAAGTGGCCCAACAGAAAAATATTCTTATCTGGTATTAAACAATATTTTTTTAATATTAAATACTATTTCGGTATACATAGTAATATGTTGATCCTCAAAATATTAATTATACTCGTGAATAACTATCATGTTAATTAAAGTGTTTTTGCAAGTAATAATAGTTGGTTGGCATAATTAATTAGAATAGAGTTATAATTATTATTTGTTTTCATTAATTTTTTACACAGTTAAGAAGTATTGATATACCTAACCCGAGACCTAACCTCTCAATCAGTTCACTTTGTTCCTTTGTAACAAACGTCCAAGACTCTTCTTCAACTGCTCACAACTATGCGCTTCCATAGAGTTTTAAAAAAGTTAATCACCATCAACGATTTTTTCTAATGATTAATTTTTCTGTAGAGATAATATTGCTTTCCCAGCCATTGTCGATCAAAACAGTACGAAGCTTTTGAATTACCGCTATTTAAACATGGTGGCTGCGCTTGCGCTCATCACATGATGAAAAGGTCTATGAAAGAGTCAAAAGTGCTTCAAGTGCGGATAAAATTCCACATGGAATGTACAGTCACATATAACAATACAGAGGGCACGAAATATGTTTGTTCATTTATTTATTTATTTTGTAACTAACCAATAAAACTTTCTTATGTTTCATATGAAATCACAAGTTCATCTCGATTTTCCATGACTGGTCAAAATTTAAGTGGAGCAACTTAAATGAACGATGCACTGATCAGTAAATACATCTGGATGTCAGATCTTTGGCGTGTTAAACAAAATTTCGAAAATCGTCATCTTACTAGACTTACATTTCTAATAAGAGAGATATTTATAATTTTCTATTAAAAAATATATTTTCGTCAGCACCATATTCCTCGCAACTTCTAAAAGACAGTGACCCATTTTCCTTGAATGAATCAATTTAGAATCAGCATTTTGAGAAATTGCTATTTTCGGAAAAGTGACTAATTCAATTTAAAAGTCGAATGTGAGATACAACAACAAAGGGTTTTTTATTTAAGATAGACATATATACTTCATTTACGTTTCTAGTTTGATTTGTGGAAAAGTTATGTAGTAATTAATGACAGTCTCTAACGGTTCCAACACTAATAACTAAAACTGTAATTTCTAGTAACCTTAGTGGCTTACTTAGGGTGGGTTTATCAGTACAAGGTAACGTATTTTAGCTATTTATTAAGTATTAGCTGTCGGTTAAATTAATGTCAAACTGTTTATTAGTATTCCAGTTAAGCTTAACTGTACGCCAAAGTTTCGGCTATGTAACAGATTTGGCTGTTAAAATATTGTTGACGCATGATTGATCCAAAATAAAAAGTAAGTTATTTTATTATTTTTGTTACGTTAAAAAGTAATAAAATTATGTAATTTTATAAAATTAAAATAAGTGATGAGAATGTACTAAAATTAGCTGATCGCTACTGCTTATTTTCCATTAAAAAAAATTTCAAAACAAGATATCAAAATAACAAGAGAGAATAAATAATAAACACAATAAAACGAACAACACTGATACAGAAAACTGTGGAAACTAAAAATTAAACTGAAACAAAAGAGATTGAGACAGTTTAAAAACCTAAAGAGCCAAAAACTAAGAATATTTAATTAATATTTTTCTCGACAGTTTATTTAGAATATACTTATTGAAATTTTAAAATCTATATTTTTTTGAATATTTCTTACCGTCTTTCTCTTACACTATGATTTAAAGTACTGAGCAATAAATAATTTATAATAATATTTCAACAAAATGATACAACGTACACCAAAATTGGTACCTTCAGTAATTAGCCACATCCTGTCCAAAATAAAAAAATAAGGATTATTGCAAAATAATTTGCCTACTTACATGACTTAAAATGACGATTTTTAACGAAAACAGACGCAATACAAGCTACAGGTGACAATAAAAATTGGAAAACTGTATACAACATATTTTCGAAAATATGAATTATTAATAAAAACACCATTGTGCAAGTCGAACGATTTATTGTAAACTAATGAAAGAACTGATTAAAAATACCTATGCGTTTGTAAAAACCGATTAAAATGTGTATAAAAATACATTTAAGATTAAAAAGAAAATAATTCCAATCCGTATTTTTCCGTTTTGTAATCAACTTGGATTTAGGAATATAAAATCTCTATAAAAAAGGTGTTTTTAGTTTATGGTAAACTGTTATTTGTATAAAAATCTGATGTTTCCAACACATGACTTTCCTGTCTAGTTATTACTTGCTTTGTCCGGTTATTTTGTACAACATATTGTATCACCCCTGTAAATGTTTAAAGGTTGAACTAAATACATACGTTTTCCACACACATCTTACTCGAAACATTTTTGTATATACCATATATAAGTGAAACGACTCTTAGAAAAGATACATTTTAGATTTAAATTTTCATTTTTTGAGGATAAGCCCTGCTAGTTTAAAGACTAATTTTCAACACAATAAGACGCGAAGCCGTCTCTATTCCTTGTTTACTCCTTGTCCGCAGTATGAAG